CACCACCTAATATTATGTTAACCAAATGTAAATTAAATTTAGTTCTGGCCCCACATCTTCTTGGAGAGAATTCAACACACCACTCAAAGGCCAAATCAGGTCTTTGCTTGAAAAAAAAAAAGTGATCTATCATAAGGGATTAAAATACTTTCTTTAACAGAAGACATTAAAACCCTGGGTGGCTTATAGTTTTGAAAAAAATAACACCAAGAAGTCACATAAGAGAAATATATAAACTGGTGATAATTTTAGAAATAAAATTCTATTTTTTTTCTCCTTCTAGCACTGTGCTAGAACTTTAGATGCTTGGCTACAATTCTCATTATTGTTGGTCATTATTGGTAATAGTCTAGTGGGCATTGAATTGCCAAACTAATGTAATTGTCAAACTCACTAAGATAGTCCAGGTCATTGGATTTCTTTTTTGGAATTTTAATTCTTCTATTAGTCTTATTTTTAGATAAATTCTATTAACAACAGAGTCTTGAAAGTACTTCCCCTACTTTCTCTCTTATACAGTAGTGAATTAGGACATAACCAATCTGGTTTTCTTTCTTGCTCTTTCTATTTCCTGGGCTTATTGTGTATTTTGTAATTCTTGTGTGATATTTACTCCCAGGTCATCTCTTTGGCTCTCTAACCTGTAGATAGAATAATGAGGATTGTAGTCCAAGACAGCCTTGGAAAGTTGATGCAGGATTATTAGTGAATTGCCTTCTTAGATGGTGCTCAGTTAGATTATGGCAATCTGTAGTTGAAGATGCAGCACTACTGGTTTATGTGTATCCATAGTGAAATTCCTGGAGGCTGGCTTTGTAGCTAAATAGGAGCTTCCTGTTCAGTGGTGGTCAGTGGCAAGAAAATAAAAGTAGGACATAGTAGTTGATACGTCTGGTTAGCCCACTGTGTGAAACAGGAAGCTTCAACTGAATGAGTCTTGCATTTGAAGAGGATCTTGATTTTGTTTGACAACGTGGAGCCTGAAAGAAAACACTTCCCTTTTTAGATGTGATATGAGGTTATCTCAATGCTCTCTTCCCAGCAGCATGCTATATGTATCACTTCATTTCAAACATTCAGTGCATGTAAAAAAAAATATTCCCATTAGAAAACTAGGAATATATTCCGGACACAAAGCAGTTCTTGCAGATCAGATATGTTTAAGGTCATTTCCAGATCAATTGAGGAACAGCTGTGAGAACTTGGGCAGATGTCCTTCATTGGCACCTCATATGAACTTGAAGGTTTTACTCTCCGTGAAGAAAATCTAGGCTGTTTTGCATGCTTTGTAAGCAGTAGTGAGCTAACATTTGTATTTAGTTATTTAGCAAATATATATGGTCGCCTAACTCATACATAGGTGGTTCTAGGCAATTTAGGTAAAGGTAAAGATTCCCCTCGCACATATGTGCTAGTTGTTCCCGACTCTAGGGGGCGGTGCTCATCTCCGTTTCAAAGCCGAAGAGCCAGCGCTGTCTGAAGACGTCTCCATGGTCATGTAGCCGGCATGACTAAACACCAAAGGCGCACAGAATGCTATTACCTTCCCACCAAAGGTGGTTCCTATTCTTCTACTTGCTTTTTTTATGTGCTTTCAAACTGCTAGGTTGGCAGAAGCTGGGACAAATCACGGGAGCTCACCCCATTATGTGGCACTAGGGATTCTAACCGCTGAACTGCCGACCTTTCGATCGACAAGCTCAGCGTCTTAATCACTGAGCCACTGCATCCCTTTTTATAATTTACAACCCAATTTACAACTTTAAAAAATCTTGGATGAAAAGCAAAATGTCTTCAAGGTAAAACAAGGTCCAGTTGCCTTTTGAAAAAGCACCTTTGGGATAACCATGACCTAGATGATTGAGAATCCCCATAGACAATGAAGAGGGATGTACCATCAATTTAGAACTAGCACTGATCTTATACCCTGAAACTCTGAGCACTAAACTTGACTATAAGAAAGTGGCTCCTGGATGTTTACAGGGATATGAAAGGAGAAGATAATTTCATCCCTAAATCCTCTGTAGTCTGATCTGATTATCTGCTTAGGTTTGGGACTGCTGAATTCCCTTTATAAACTTATTTCTACTGGATTAGCTTGTCCCCAGGAGATATCTGCAGCCTTCTGGCTATAAAACTAAATACATAAATAAATGTATGAAGGACAGCATATGTTAGCTTTGAGTTGTCGTGGGTCAGCAGTTATGTTTTATTACAAGATGCTTTGTTGACATAAAATACTACCAAGCCCCAAACAAGGAATTAATACAGAGATTTACAATATATTTACATTTTTTCCTTTATAGGTTTAACTCTTCAGGCGGCTTGCACAAAGTCTGCTCAGTTCAAGGGACAGACTAACTTGTGGTTGCATAGCAAAGATCACATTCTACAAGGGGGGAAAAATAGCTGGTTTTCCATCTGATAAAAGTTTTAAAGACATTAATGAATGATTCTTGGTATTCTCTGAGCTTGCTCTCTCTCCCCCTCCCACCTTACCAAACTCAGAAAGCCCCAAGAATCCCTCATTTCAACCTTGAACTACAAATATTCTCCTTTATTGATACATTAATGAGTGTTTTGTTGCTGCAAGCCTTCCTTCCTTCCTTCCTTCCTTCCTTCCTTCCTTCCTTCCTTCCTTCCTTCCTTCCTTCCTTCCTTCCTTCCCTCCCTCCCTCCCTCCCTCCCTCCCTTCCATCTACCTCCCTGCCTTCCCCTCCATCATCATCATCATCATTCTTTTTGGCAGTGCTCTTTGACTTGTTGCACATTAATTGTCTAGTCAAAGGAATTCCTTTCAGGCTTATTTTTAAAAGTGATACAACCATATTTTAAACTGGTGGGCATATTTGGAAATGCTTAATTCATACCAGGAGCTAATTTCCATAGTGAGTGCGACTTACACTTGGTAGTTGAGCGGCTTCCATTTTATTATTTTATACTATTTATTTTTAATCAGATTTTTTAAAAAAAAATCAAGTTTGTTAGTCCATGGTCATCACATAAAATGATTTCAGTTCCAGGTCTGGCATTAGGCCTTTGCAATTAAATACATAATTTGTGCTGATGACATTCATCCTCTAGATTTTCAAACTAAGATTCTTACCTAAACAGATAGATCCACTATTTAAGCTTCTTACGTGAAAGTTGTCTGGGTAAAATGTTCTTCACTTGTTTTATGATGATGATGACATTTCAAAGGATAAAGAACAGTCAGAGTGCCCTAAATATTTGGATACGTTTGTTGGCATTTAATGGAGAAAGAATACACTTGGAGTTACTACAAATTTGGCGGTTGACTGGCCTCATACATTAACCTTACAGTACTTAGAAACACAATAAATCTTTTCAGTTTCTGTAACAGACCAAATGTATAAATCATGCAAAGTGAGAATTCTCGAATAGTTGTCCCAAAGCTGCTTTTTCAAAAGGCAACTGGACTTTTTTGGTTTTTTCCTTGAAAAACTTTTGCTTCTCATCAAAGAAGCTTCTTCAGTTTCATTCTTCTTGAATGAGAAGCAAAATGTTTTTAAGGAAAAAAACAAGAAAGTCCAGTTGCCTTTTGAAAAAGCAGCTTTGGGACAACCATGACCTGAATGATTGAGAGAATCCATAGACGGTCTTGAATAGTCCAATATCTGCTGAATCTCAATTATACTGTTCTTATTAGAATTCCTGCCTTGTCCTGTATGTTCTCAGCTGATAAATTATAAATGTTCTTAAGAACATCTTGAAGTCCATCCCATTGAATCCTTCAGCCTCAATGGGAGACATCCCTGTTCACTCAACCATCTTCTCACCTTCCATGAGGGAGATGGGGGTTTAAGAAGTTTTATACATTTTCCAAAGCATCTGAAGGCAGGACAAGAAGCAACAAGGAGAGAAGCAACCTAGACCTAAGAAGAAATTTCCTGACAGTGAGAACTATTAATCAGTGAAACAACTTGACTCCAGAAGTTGTGAATGCTCCAACACTGAAGGTTTTAGACAACCATTTGTCTGAAATGGTATAGGGTTTCTTGCCTTAGCAGGAGATTGGACTAGAAGACCTTCAAGGTCGTTTCCCACTCTGTTATTCTGTTATTTAGATGCAAGGAGGGGATTTAAGGTTGCCCACAGAGCTCTGTGTTTTTGCATGGTGGCAAAAGACTAACTTGCCTCTTGGAAAAATGCAATCAAAATCTCCAATCCCTGCAGATGCAGCTTAAACACACACCCTTCCTTCCTCATTTTGTTTTACAGTCAGAATTCAAAGCCACAATGTAAGCTTGCTTTCGTAAAGCTATTTCTGCTGCCATCTGCTGTTTTGGTTTCAGAGGGTAGGGAAAATTGCACAGAGATGAAAGCACAGCCAGTCTGTTCAGTCCATGTACAGATGGTTAGGACAAACCTTTGTTAGAAACAGTTAATAAGAATGTGTTTTTGTTAATTTTTCAGTGGGATTGCACCCACTGAATCAGAGCTTCAGAACTGATTAACTGTCTCACTAATCCAACACGCAGGGTTATCAGGTTGAGGCATGCAAATATAAACAAATGTACTTTTTGGTAACTATTTACATGACTATACATTCTTTATAAAATGAGGAACTGATTGAAAATTATTTTAGCTTTTTTTCCCCGTGAAGGTGATAACATTTGGAAAGATAAATAACAGTCAGAGCGCCCTGAATATTGGGATAAGTTTGTTGGCATTTAATGAAGAGAAAAATACCTCTGGGGCTATTGCAAACTTGGGAGTTGACTGGGCTCATAAATAAATACAATAAACACAATAAATCTTTGCAGTTTCCACAGCTGAGTAAATGTGTAAAGCATCCAAAGCACGGATACGGAGTAAATGTGTAAAAAAATTTCACATCTGGTGTTATCAAGCTCAGGTATGCAAATATAAATGAATGTCCTCCTAGGCAAGGCCAATTCAATTCCCATGCATTCTTTAAAAATTAAGAAGTGATTAAGAAATATTAATTTTTGCTTCTTCTTTTTTTCCTTGAACAGGGACACCCAGGTCAGCCAGGATCCAGAGGTCTTCCTGGTTTAGATGGCTGTAATGGTACCATTGGAAGTCCTGGTATCTCTGGATCAGATGGATTCCCTGGTCCCCAAGGACCACCGGTATTTCTTGATGTAGCCTTTGTCCTAGGTTGGGATAGGTGGTGGGGAAAGTGATCTGGATATCTTAAACCTATGTTTCTCAACCTTGGCGGCTTTAAGATGTCTGGATTTCAACTCCCAGAATTCCCTAGCCAGCATGACTGGCTGGGGAATTCTGGGAGTTGAAGTTCAGGCATCTTAAAGCCGCCAAGGTTGAGAAACACTGTCTTAAATAGTTACTACTATGAATGGTTCTAAAGCCGCTTTCTTTATAACTGTTCCTAGAATAAAGTGGTGAAAAGATTTGGGGGAGTCTAATTATTTCCCTTTTTTAGCAGCCAAGCAAAAAGTCATAGATCTCTATCACATCATGTCAACTCTTTCCTATCTTGAGAGCAGATGATTATCTAGAGATACATCATAGATGCCATATTCTTTGGAGAAGTCTTACTCTGGTCATGGGTAGATTTATACATTATAGTAAGCCATAGTCCAACTATAAATAACCAGCAGTATTCTAAGCCATGATGTGTGGTTCATAGATAGCTAGATTTAAACAATAGCTGGATTTAAATTTGTTTAAACAAAATTTAAACAGGTTATCCTAAATTCAAGGTGTATTGTGGCTTAAAATGTTATCTGAACCATATGCTAGTAGTACTTATTCAATAATGTATGTAGCTTATCTTATCTTCAGATGGGCAATACCATGAGAGCCTTCCAAGAAACACATTCTGACATAAAAAATGACATATAAAGCCTTCAATGTATATCGAATTGGTTGGTTAGTTAGTTGGTTGGTTGGTTGGTTGGTTGGGTTCAGTTGAGTTGGGTTGGGTTGAGTTGGATTGGTTGGTTGATTGGTTGGGTTCAGTTGAGTTGGGTTGGGTTGAGTTGGATTGGTTGGTTGATTGGTTGATTATGCACCAGCAAGTTGATGTCACCTCATGGAGATCCACCTAGATAGATTTTTCTCCATGACAATCTATTCCTAACTGGTCCTTCTGATCTTCCAACAGTGCATCCATCATAACTGTAATAGAATGTATAGAATGGAAATGAATTCTACATGCATTTCTTAGATTATTAATTTCAGCTTCAGGACAACTAAGCTTTGAATTTATTCTGACTACCTTTTTTATTTATTTTTGCTAAAGAGTATCTTTTGCTCTTGTTTTCTTAATTTCTATATCCAGGGTCGGCCTGGTCCTAAAGGCCCCAAAGGTGAACCTGTCTATGCCCCAGGGATTTTTAAAGGAGTGAAGGTAAGAAATGTCCAGGTAAAGGAACTGTAGCAGGAGCATGTCTAAGCAATTAACTTCAAAATTTTCATTTGAGAGGAAGAAAACAGCTTCAAAAAGCTTGTGCCTGTGTTTGATAAATTGAACTTTAGAAATGTAAAAAGCTGCCCAGATGTTTCAAATTGGTATTTGCATAGTCACTCAGGCACTCGTCACTTCCCGCCTGGACTACTGCAACACGCTCTACATGGGGCTCCCCCTGGGGTGCACCCGGAGGCTCCAGCTGGTCCAGAACGCGGCCGCGCGGGGGATTATGGGGGCGACGAGGCACTCCCATGTAACACCTCTCCTGCGCGAGCTGCACTGGCTCCCGGTGGTCTTCCGGGTGCGCTTCAAGGTGTTGGTGACCACCTTTAAAGCGCTCCATGGCTTAGGGCTGGGGTACTTACGAGACCGCCTTCTGCCACCAATAGCCTCCCACCGGCCAGTACGCTCGCACAGAGTGGGCCTCCTCAGGGTGCCGTCCGCCAGACAATGTCGGCTGATGACTCCCAGGGGGAGAGCCTTCTCTGTGGCGGCGCCCACCCTCTGGAACAACCTCCCCCCAGAGATACGTACAATAACAGACCTCCGGATTTTTCGTCGGGCCCTGAAAACCTATTTATTTCAACTAGCTGGGCTGGCTTGAGTTAATTTTAAATTGATTTTAAATTGGGTTATTTTAATTTACGGCCAATAATATTTAATTATTTTAAATTGCTTTTAAATTTTGTATGTATTGTTTTTTACTCTGGCTGTTCACCGCCCTGAGTCCTACTCTGGAGAAGGGCGGTATAGAAATTTAAATAATAAATAAATAAATAATAAAATTTGTCCAGATATCTGCAGAGATTGTCAGGCATCCAGGTCATGGTTGTCCCAAACCTGCTTTCTTTCACAAGGCAACTGGACCTTTGGGGTTTGCTTGAAGACGTCAGAAGTAAAAACTGAAGAAGCTTTTTGGATGAGAAGCAAAACCTCTTCAAGAAAAACAAGAAAGCACCTTTGGGACAATCTGCCCAGATTTTTAGCCACTGGTGGGATTCAAAATGCTGGTCTGATCCAACTTGATTTTTTTTTATCCTCTTAATTCATTTTCAGTCAAATGGGGTTTTTTACTGCCAACATTTTGACTAACCCAACTAAATCCAGAATCAGGCTGTTCTAGTCATCGCTACAGAGATTGCATTTAAGTCTTTGATTGGGAAGCTATCTGTCTCCCACGATTTTTAAAAAAAACATTTCTCTTCATCTCCCTAATCTTGGGATGGGAGAGTTGAATTAAGGCTGACAGAAAAGTAACTTGTCCATGTAGTGATTCCTATTTTTTTTTAACAAGCAAACATTTTCTATAATACATTTCCCTGCTAATCTATGTTTCATCTAAGTGCTTGCTGTTTTTATGTTATTTATTTAGGGAGAAAGAGGTCTTCCTGGGCTGGATGGTGCTATTGTAAGTTCATTTCCCTTGTAATTTCTGTTTTCCTTGCCTGTGTGTGTTGCATTATTTTTGGCAAAACTCAATTAGTAAAGAGAAAGAAAATTTCGACATTGTTTCCAGCATAATAGTGTTGAGCTATCCTTAGAAAACCTTAGTCCCAAATTTACCTCAGCCGTGGAAGCTTATTAGGTGACTCTGTTTGTCACAACCACAACTCACATTATAGAATTTTTATGAGGAGGGAAGTAGACTTGATCACCTTGGGAGGAAAATAAACAAATGAGGTAGACAAGGAGTGTTTTACTTTTCTTAACTGCTGTTTAATCTTTAAAAAGCTTACAGAACCACCGAACTGTTTGTAGAGAGGAAATTCTACAAGTAGGAATACAGTCCAATGTTCCCCTGCAGAGTTCCACACTGTGTGTGGTAGAAGGACAAACAATAGCTTTCTTGTTAGAAGAGTAACAAGTAGAAGATACGAGTAACACACATGTCCAGTACAAGGCCCAAGGTTGTCATGTCTGCCATGTCACCATGGCATAAAATATGATGTCTGTGGTACCACTTCCCCTCACCACAGGGTAGCCAGGGGACCTTTTGTTTATGACTAGCATTTTTCCTATTGTGGATTTTTCTAGAATTTCTGATTTATGTCTGTTAGATCTTTTGGGGGAGTAGCTCCCAGAAATAGCTAGTTAGAGAGAGAGGAGGGGGATGGATAGTTAGGAGAGAGGGGGGATGGATAAGATAGATGACAGACAGACAGACAGACAGACAGACAGACAGATACTAGCTTCTAGTTGCCCAACTGCCTTACATGAGAAAGACCCTTCAGCCCCCACAGCCCCTTAAACATTCCTTATGTAGGACTGGGTTTAGCTGAAAGAAAAGCCACTGGGATGAGAAAGGAAGATACAGGGAAGAATCAAGTGGGGTTGAAAAGAAAAGAAAAACCCATAAAAATTGGCTTCCTACAACCAGAGCAAACCTTTTTCTTGGCTGGCTTTTGGGCTTTGCAAATAAACAGACATCCTGAAATTTATTTCTACTTTTCACATCATGTTTTCTATCCTGTGGGGGAGTTTTGAATCTTCCTCTTGGGATTCTACACTCCAGGAGACATCCTCTTACCATGGAAGTAATCAAGCCAATGACAAGAGAGATAATAATAAGAAGCGATAACAACACAGTTCTGGTTTTGCATTACATGTGATTATTGTGTTTGTGACACTGTGATGAGTTTGGGTTACAAATCTGGCAGCGGGCAGTGCATGAAGAGAGTCGACTCATTTGGGGATGAGCAGGACACGTGACCACTGAAGTTGCTTTCTTGCCTTTGTTGTCCTTCTTAACAGGGACCTAAAGGCTTTCCAGGTCGTTCAGGCCCTGCTGGTCCCATCGGGCTACCTGGATTTCCGGTAAATCATCCTTTTTTTTTTGTTATTAATTACATCCTGAATAATCTACCATTGTAGCTAGATCAGATTGTATGAAATAGCTACTGATTGTTATCTTTTTTTTTTTAATTTGATTTATATGCCGCCCTTCTCCGGAGACTCAGAGCGGCTTACAATGCGTTAAGCAATAGCCTTCATTCTTTTGTATATTTTATACAAAGTCAGCTTATTGCCCCCACAAACTGGGTCCTCATTTCACCTACCTTAGAAAGGATGGAAGGCTGAGTCAACCTTGAGCCTTGGAGAGATTCGAACCAGCAGAAATTGCAGGCAGCTGTGTTAATAACAAGCCACTGTGTTTATAATCAGAATAGAGTTGGAAGGGACCTTGGAGGTCTTCTAGTCCAGCCCCCTGCTCAAGCAGGAGACCTTATACCATTTCAGACAAGTGACAAGTCTCTTCTTAAAAACCTCCAGTGATGAAACCCTCACAATTTCTGAAGGCAAGTTGTCCCACTGGTAATTGTTCTCACTGTTAGGAAGTTTCTCCTTAATTCCAGGTTGCTTCTCTCCTTGATTAGTTTCCAGCCATTGTTTCTTCTTCTGCCCTCTGGTGCTTTGGAGAATAAATTAAACTCCTCCTCTTTGTGGCAGCTTCTCAAATACTGGAATACTGCTGTCATATCACCCCCTAGTCCTTTGTTTCTCTAGACTAGCCAAACTTAAATCCTGCAACCGTTCTTCATATGTTTTAATCTCCAGGCCTTTAATAATCTTAGTTGCTCTTCTTTGCACTTTTTCCAAAGTCTCAACATGGTTTTTGTAGTGTGGTGACCAAAACTGGATGCAAGTATTCAAGATGTGACCTTAGTAAGGCTTTATAAAGTGGTACTAATACTTCACGTGATTTTGATTCTATGCCTCGGTTTATACTACCAAGGATTGTATTAGCTTTTTTGGCTGCTGCTGTACACTGCTGATTCATATTTAAGTGATCATCCACAAGACTCCAAGGTCCCTTAAACACGAGCCAGCAGCCAAAAAAGCGAATACAATCCTTGGTTGTATAAACAAAGGCATAGGATCAAAATCATATGAAGTATTAGTACCACTTTAGTACCACTCCAAAGCACCAGAAGGCAGGACAAGAAGCAATGAATGGAAACTAATCAAGGAGAGAACCAACCTAGAACTAAGGAGAAATTTCCTGACAGTGAGAACAATGAATCAGTGGAGTGGCTTGCCTCCAGAAGTTATGGGTGCTCCAACACTGGAGGTTTTTAAAAAGAGATTGGGCAACCATTTGTCTGAAATGGTATTCCTGGCTAAACAGAAATTTGGACTAGAAGACCTCCAAGGCCCCTTCCAACTCTGTTATTCTGATTAGTCTCTTAGGATAGATTAATCTATGCCTTAATGCAGATTATTCCCTTGTTTGGCTCAGGAGGGAAGCAGAATGACAAGGTGGAAAAGGATTTAATTCCACCCCCTGCGGCTTCTGATCTACTGTAGTTTGGGTGGGATGCATTTTTCCTTTTTCACATCTATTTGCTTAAATATTAATATAAGGCAGTGGTGAAATCCAATTTTTTTTATTACCGGTTCTGTGGGTGTGGCTTGGTGGGCGTGGTGTGGCTTGGAGAGCGTGGCAGGGGAAGGATACTGCAAAATCTCAGTTCCCTCCCCACTCCTGGGGCAAGGATATTGCAAAATCTCCATTCTCACCCCACTCTGGGACCACCCAGAAGTGGCATTTGCCAGTTCTCCGAACTACTCAAAATTTCTGCTACCGGTTCTCCAGAACCTGTCAGAACCTGCTGGATTTCACTCCTGATATAAGGGCATCAGCCCAGGATAAGATGTAGGAGTGAGATTCTCACCTCATGTAAAGGAGGATTTGGCACAAGTCACCTGCTCTCATCTATTACTGAATAATTCATTTATCTCTTTGCTTCCTAAATAATATGGCAGTGTGAATAATTTTGGATATTAAAGACGCCATTCGCCTTTCATTTTTTAACAGTTCCCTCTTTTTATTTATTTGTTCCACCCATAAACTGAAATTTGTTTCTCAAATTAAAACAATTAATATTGTTTTCTTCCAATTTAGGGACCCCCAGGCTTCCCAGGACTCCCAGGATCTGTGGTAAGTGTGTTTGATTGATTCTCGGCATTCTGCCATCCATGAAATCAATAGCACTGTTTTCCTCCTGATAAACCTTAGGACAACTTTTCTGCATTAAAGATGGACAGAATGTGCAAAGTCAGAATTTTGTTCTTATTGTTCTGTTTTGCTTTGTTGGAGAGGATGGAAATACAGGTAGTCCTGGACTTAACAACAGTTAGTTTAGTGACCGTTCGAAGTTACAATGGAACTGCAAAAAGTGACATGACCATTTTTCACACTTATGACCATTGTAGCATTCCCATGGTCACATGATTTACATTCAGATGCTTGACAATATTTCATATTTATGACGGTTGTAGTGTATTGGGGTCATATGATCCCCTTTTGACAAGCAAAAGTCAGTGAGGAAACCAAATTCACTTAACAGCCGGGTTACTAATTTAATAACCACAGTGATTCACTTAATAAATGTGACAATAAAAGTCATAAAAACTCACTTAACAAATTTCTCACTTTCTCACTTAGCAACATAAATTCTGGGCTCAGTTGTCGTAAGTCGAGGACTGCCTGTAGTTTTGGAATGGCTTGCTCCTGGTATATTTCTAAGTTATTTTCCATATTTGATTGCAGACAGACATTTCAGTTATGATGATTATGAATTATACTAGATATGAATCCACCAGATAGTTCCGAATGAATCTGGCACTTTTGACTACAGGTAGTTCTCAGTTTACAGCCATTCATGAAATGACTGTTTAAAGCAGGGGTCTCCAACCTTGGCAACTTTAAGACTTCTGGACTTCAACTCTGGGAGTTGAAGTCCACAAGTCTTAAAGTTGCCAAGGTTGGAGACCCCTGCTTCAAAGCTACAGCAGCACTGAAAAAATGGACTTACTTCTCACTTACAACTGTTGCAGCCATGTGATCAAAGCTCAGATGTTTGGCAGCCGGTATATATTTATAAAGGTTGCATTGTCCCAAGGTCATTGCGACCTTCTCAGCTGGCTTCCAACAAGCAAAGTCATTTTGGGAAGTTGGATTCACTTAATAGCCACGCAATTCACTTAACAACTGCAGTGATTCAATTAAAAACCATGGCATAAAATCAGCTTTACAACTGCTGATTAGCCAGAGAAATTTTGGTCCCAGTTATGGTCACGAGGACTACCTGAATTAGATCTTTCTCAAGGTTTAGGATTACAAAATATATACTTGCAATATATGCATTACTCCAGTTAATACAGCTCTTTGTAACTAATGATATTCTGTCCATTCCTATTGTGTCCGAGTGCTTTTAGTATGACATCTAGTTAATGAAATTAGTGTGAGAAAAAAGAAACATTTTAATACTTTGAACCCAAATAATTAGCTTTAATTCCTCATCAACTTGGGTTGGATTACCAGAACTAATACTATACCATTATTTTTTTTTTTCAAATGGAGAATATTGATGAACACTTTTGGAAGACAGATATAAGAAAACAAGCATTAATTCCATCGATCGTTTCTTTTGACTCCTTTGGATGTCTCTGTGTTTCAATTGTATCGTTTTTGGAAAATAAATATTACAATGATTTGGTTTTATTTTTGTTATTTTGCAGGGCAGTAGCGGTCTAGTTTTCCATGGAGAAATAGGAGAAAAAGTAAGTAGTTGTGTGTGTTTTGGTTTTGCAATGGGACACCAAATATCTTTTTCTTAACTGCGAGATTAAGAAGATTTTTTTGCTGTTCTTCCACACGTTGGCCATTTATTCAAGTTCTTGCCCTGAAAACGTGTTGCATATCAAGAAGAAGATTGGGCAATGGAGAAGAGGCTCAATTTTTTCACTCTATGTTAAAACACTGTATGTTTTCATGCAACGTACAATTTCCAAAATTGGTATCAGCTTCCAAATGTTCTCCAGAAAATCTTCATTTTCAACTGTTTTGGAAGTGATGAACAGTAGAGCCCATCAAACTTTTTGTGGGAGACCATTCTGGAGAACCCGTTCAATTATAAACAATTCCTCCAGGCTTCGGGCCCCTTGACCTCCTGAAAGAGGGGGACAGTTACTTCTCTCAGCATGACCAAAAGGGTTGGGTTGATTCCAGGGGAAGATGGAGTTCTTAAGTAACCAGAAACCAAGCCATAAAATGCTTTTTAGAGGAAAACCAGCACTTTAAATGGCATTAGGAAACTGAGAATCTAAGGCAGGGCCTGAAAAATAAGTGTAACATGCACCCGCCAGCATCCACCTGGATAGATCTCGGCCACTGCATTTTGTACCACCTAAAGTTTCCAGATAATCTTTAAAGACAGTCCCATGAAGAATGCATTGCAGGAGTCTAGAGCAGTGTTTCTCTACCTCAGCATCTTTAAGATATGTGGACTTCAACTTTGCGGACTTCATCTTCCAGAATTCCCTAACCAACAGATCTCAGAATTCCTGAGGTTGAGAAGTCCTTGTCTACAAGAGTGGTGATGAAGGCATGAGCCACCTAATCAGTCTTTAAGATGACTTTCTTGTATGTAATTTATTTATTTGTTGAATTTCTATAGCTGTCCATCTCAGTCAATGACTTTGGGCAGCTTACAATTCAAAAAATATATGACGATTAAAAATACTAATACATGTTTATTTTCCAAATAGGGAGATGTGGGGCTGCCAGGACCAGCGGGACCTCCATCTTCCACAGGGACAGAAGAATTTGTTGGATTGTCCAAAGGACAGCGAGGAGCAAAGGTTTGTTCTTAACAATGGATAAACTCTGAATGAAATATTTTTTAAAAGGATGCTGAAAGTCAGACTTGATTTCTCACAGTTTCGTCAACAAATCAGGGGTTTTTTTTGGCAATAGCATAGAAAAGGTTGGACATAAGCTTCTTCAGGCACTTTTTTTCAATTCTCCAATCCATAGTTGCCTGTCCTTGCTATAAAGGACAAATATAGTATATAATTTAATGAGAACTGGCACAGTCAAGATTAATAAACCAACTGTTTTTTCCTCAGTTTCCTCGCTTTTCTAAATTTTATGATGCGGCGCTGTAAACTACACCCTAGGCTATAATAAAATGAACATTCAGGGAAATGTATGCAAAACTGCATATGTTGGAAGAAAATATAAGCACATACTGTACATTTAGAGAAACATGTGACAAAAAGCCCACAAATGTTCCTGCTAGCTTTTCAGCCCAATATTTGCAAATTTGCACAGAAAGAGATTAGAAAGTGTGTTTCAGAAAGTATGAAAGTTGAAGCTATCAGATGAGGCAGATTTATTCATGGCTGAGCATAGGGCAACACCAATTAATTTATTATGATATAAGCTTTGGCAGGCTAAGGTCTGTTTTGTTTTTTGAAGCAGACCCTAATCTAGGAAAACATTCATATGCCTGGATACATTTGTCATTCAGTAATGGAATAAATTGATGTGTAGGTGTGGTATGGAATGTCTGTTCCTGGAAAATTTTAAATGTTGTGGCTTAAATGGAATTACTCTTGACTTTCTTGTAACTTTGATACTGTAGTGATTTAGGCTGTTATTTAAAAGATAGCACAACTAATTAATTGGAAATTCAGAGTCGGATCCTAGATTAACTCCTTGGTGAATCAGTAAACTTAACACATTCTTCTTTGTTAACAAAATGTAGGAATTTGCTGAGGAATTTAGGCACATCCTCCCAACCTTTCCTTCCCTGGGGAAAAGCAAAGATAAGAGAATGTAGCATAAACCTCCCAACAATTAAAATGATTTTCAGTTTGTTTAGAAAAGTGATTAGTCTCCCTTTCAAAAAGCGCAGAAAAAAAAAAAGCAATTTAAGCCAGTCCTGGACATTTCTTCATTTTAGTAAATGATTAACTCATTTAAGGTCTAATCTGTTCAGAGTTTGATCAATGATTTCCAACACTGTTTTCCCCACCCCAAAGAATCCTGAACGTTTACTCTTGAAAGAGTAGGACTCTTGAATGTTTGTTTCTGAGAATGTCAACTTTCCTGAGACAAGAGGCAATCAAAAGGATGCCCAAGGTTGTAATCATTACCACGGAAATGTTGACATACCAAACTGTTTTTCAGCTAAATCTCTGGGTCGTAAAATTCTGCTTACCCAGGTGGAAGATGTAATCTCTTAAAGAAACAAATAGCAGCACTCAAATGGTAGCTTTTGATTTGTACTATGTACAATGTGTCCGATAGCCCAGTTGTCTTAAATTAACCAATCTCAGCTCTTTGATTTCGTCAAGTTGTTTTGGATATACGTAATTGCAAACCACACTTTTCCCCAGCAGAGTTGCAAGAGAGAGTGAGAACTTTTTTGCTTCAGTATTAGATAACAGAAGAACAGAATTGGAAGGGACCTTGGAGGTCTTCTAGTCCAACCCTCTGCCCAAGGCAGGAGATCTTAAATCGTTCTGGACAAATGGTTGTCCAATCTTTTCTTTAAACCCTCCAGTGATGGAGCATCTACAACCTCTGGAAGCAAAGCAGTTCCACTGGTTAATTGTTCTCACTGTCAGGAAATTTCTCTTTATTTCTAAGTTGGCTCTCTCCTTCATTAGTTTCCATCCATTGCTTCTTGTCCTTCCTTCAGGTGCTTTGGAGAATAGGTTAACCCTCCTCTTCTTTGTGGCAGCCCCTTAGATATTGGAACACTGCTATCATGACACCCCTAGTTCTTCTTTTCATTAACTTCATGTTTTCCCGGCAACTGATTCTGCTCACTCAAATTATCTCTATTAGAGCTCTGCAGCTGACACCAATGCAGAATGTAGAAATGCCCTGTTTTCCAGCCTCAACAATGAGTCTTAACAATTTTGAAATAAGATAACTTCAAGTTGTATGTTAACAAGATGACTCAATATAAATTGACAGTGATGGTTAATCACGGTTTAGAATTTGGATGTCAATATATCAATAGGATAAACAAATAGACGTAAAAATGAATATTCAAACCTAGATCTTACAGTATTGAGTAGTGGTATGTTACTGAGTGTTTGATTTTATACTTGTTTGTTTCAGGGAGTTCCTGGGGTAAAAGGAATTCCAGGCCCACCAGGAGTTCCTGGACGTCCGGTAAGATGTTTCATCCAACCTTTGTTGACCTATCTCCCCTTTGAAAAGGATGGAAATGGCACATAGTTCAGAATAAACTCCACCCCAACCGAGGCACCCATCTACAATGAAGCCATGTTTGACAAGCATGGAAGCAAAAGGGTTCCCACGCTTCTTCTGATCATGTGGGAGAAGGAGAAAGGAGAATCTGAGCATCTTCCCACCACACATTTGTCTTCTCCTTGTTCCCATCATTCCGTCATTGTCTGAGTATGAGCATGGTTTCCACACAGGGATAATAAGCCTTTGCAACGAGTCCTACAGTATTGGTGTATTTTCATTGTAATAATGAAAGCATAATTTGTTGGCTTGTTTCTATTTTGGGTTTTCTGTTACATATAAACAAATTCCCTCTAATGTAAATTGGAATTTTTGACAAATGCTTCTTGTTCAGAAGGATGGTTTCAATGACAGCTCATATAGGCAGAAGTTTTTATTATAGCGTCTTAGCATCTGGCACAAATCCTGCACAATGACTCGTTTCCCCCTACCCACCACCCCCACTCTCTCTGGTCCCTTCTTGGGTGGTGGCAATGAATTTTCTACCCCCATGAAACATTTGCAAATGACGTTGCTGTCATTGTAATCTAAGAAAAGAGTGTTTTAGGAAACTTTGAAACCATGGAGTAAATTATTTACTAATTGTGTCATTAAATTGCTTGCGGGGCATTCTCTTCTCCAAATAAGAGGTGCATAACTAGGGGTTTTCTGTCGATGGTTGGATATTCCAAGATGTTCATTGCTGTCTAAGGAAGACGATACGTGCTTTTTAATGTAACCTTTGAGTGAGCTGTAATGCAGAAAATTGATTAAAAAATGGAGTTGCAGAACAAACAGAAGAGTGATGTCAGCAGGGGGGTGTGCTTACAGATCCCCTGAGTGATTCTTGTTTATAGATAAAACCTTACTTGAACTTATTTTGAACATAAATGATGAAACATGCAAAGTAAAGGCATTGATTGCATGTAAATTCACCACAAATTAACGCAGATTCTTTCTGTGCATGCCAGTGGTGGGTTTCAAAATTTTTTACTACCGGTTCTGTGGGTGTGGCTTGGTGGGCGTGGCATGGCTTGGTGGGTATAGCATGATGGGCGTGGCAGGGGAAGGATACTGCAATACATTACCATTCTCACCCCACTCTAGAGGAAGGTTATTGCAAAATCCCCATTTCCTCCTGATCAGCTGGGACTTGGGAGGCAGAGAAGAGATGGGGGCCGGGCCAGTCAGAATTTTTACTACCGGTTCTCTGAACTACTCAAAATTTCCACTACCGGTTCTCCAGAACTGATCAGAACCTGCTGAAACCCACCTCTGGTGCATACATATTTTTATTTACCAGTGAAGTATAACAATTGAACAATATGAAATGTATTGATATTTCAAGGGAAAAATATATGCATTTCAGCGATTAAAAAAACTGAAAATAAGGGACAGGATGAAACCCAGGAAAAAGAAAAAAGAAAAAAAAAAGATTCAAGGTATTAAATAAAATGAATTCTGGCCTTAAACATATATCTATTAAGTGTAAATCTGTTAAATATAGACCAGCTGCTTGGTAGGAAAAGTTTATGTCTACACAAAAACATGGAATCATCTATCTTATCCTTGTTCTCTTTCTTTCTTTCTTTCTTTCTTTCTTTCTTTCTTTCTTTCTTTCTTTCTTTCTTTCTTTCTTTTTTTGTTTAGGGTTTCTGGAGCTTTGGAGAAAAGGGAGAAAAAGGTGTCCCCGGTTTACCAGGACCCAGAGTAAGAAGCTTCACAAAATCTTGCTTTTTGGAAAATATTTGTACAGGTAGTCCTCAACAAATGACCAATTGCTTATCAAAGGTACTCCAGACTCCCCAAAAGACTTGGGGACTAAGGCTTAGAGAGTGGCAAAGTCCAGTGGAGGGACCTATAGGTGTCAAACTGGAGCACATACTCAACCGCACTTTTGATTTTCTTTCATTTTAGGGAGACACGGGACCGAGGGGATCTTACGGAAACGTAGGCAGAAAGGTATGTTGTGTGTTCACAAACATCTTTATTCATCTAGCACAGGGGTCTCCAACCTTGATAACTTTAAGATTTGTGGACTTCAACTTCCAGAGCTCCTCAGTCAGCAAAGCCAGCAAATTCTGGGAGTTGAAGTCCACAAGTCTTAAAGTTGCCAAGGTTGGAGACCCCTGATCTAGCAGATGATGCCACAGTGGGCATTTCCTGGTGAGGCCCAGCAGAACATTTTGGAACAATATGTCTAGTTTGATATGGGAGATCCTGGCTCTTGATCCTTTAAAGGACAAGCTATTTTATCAAGTCTTTGGACAGACAGTTGGACTCTAATTATTTGTGAATTCCAAAAGGCATTTGAGACCCTTTAATTCTTCTGCTGGACCTTTGGAATGTAAAGCACAACTGGCATGTTTAAGGCCAATTTGGGTTTTTAATTTGATTGATAATTCAATTTGATTCTTTATGAGCATGCAGTGTTCCTGTATACAAGAGTCTAGCCAGAGTCTTCAATTAGAGTTGGCTTGCTTGCTTGCTTGCTGCTCAACCACTCTGCTCAAACGTATTATGCAGTATGCAGAAGAAATGATTTTTCAATAAATGAATAATTACAGAAGAAAACAGGGAGAAAAACCCCGTGTTCTTCTCATTCTGAATCATCTTTCATTGTTATTCAGGGAGTTCTGGGCGAATCAGGATATCCTGGTTGGGATGGCTCTCCAGGCGGAAAGGTAACCCGCTCCACATGAAAAATTGACCAGGTAGCACAAATATTGTAGCTTTAGACAAGACAGGGAAATAGCCCAAAGGTAGCTGTGACTTGACAGTCCTCTCCCTTTTTTTAAAAAAAAAAAAATAATGTTTTCAAAAATTTTATTCACAACGTTAAAATGCAAATTCCCAAAACAGGAACAAAAATACAAAAACAAAATTAAACGAGATTTCAAAGGGGAATAAAACACATACACATAAATTTCTTCCCACTTGAATATTGATAAATATATTTCAAGAATAATAGTTGCAAAACAGGCCCACAAATTATGAACTACTATAATTCTGTTTACCCAATCAAGTCCTTTCCTGATCTGTCACTTCTTCACTTTAGATAGACCTGGAAAGAAGACATTGAGATAAGAAACTTCTTAATGTGTTTCCAAGGCACTTGCAGTATAGTAAAACTACAGGGATATTTCTTGATTCAAAATAGCTGAAAACTCATGTTTTCTTATTTCTAGCCAAGCTTTGTCCCTGACAGATTCGTCTTCTGTATTACAGAGATTTTTATTTTGTTTTTGTGCATATCGTCATTCAGCCACGCTACCCACCCAACTTTGTATTTGTGCCCTACTTCCCAAGTTACACTTTGGATGAAGCAGAAACCTTTTGACTAAACTGTGAAGCTCTTGTGTTTTCTATTTCTTGCTTTCAGGGTGAATTTGGCGATGTGGGTCCACCAGGCCCTTCATTAATTGTTGACATAAATGGTGCTGTCATATCAGGTGGGTGATTTTCCTTACAAATCCATGTCTTCTTTAACATGTATGAAGAATAAGATAAGAATAAGTTAAAAAGAATGAAATGTTTCTCAAGGCTAGATTAGTGTTGCCACACTAGAGTATTAGAGTTCCATGGCATTCAAATCAGAGTAGACCACAAGGAGTGCCTTCCAGATGGATTACATCGCAGATCCCTGAATGGTTCTATTTTCTTGGCATATGGGGATGCTTCTGGAGGAACCACTAGAGGATTCATAAATGCAAAATTGCTGTATCTGGCTTGTCCGAGCAATTTCTGTTGTGGAAATTGTTATTGCTGGCTAGGATTGTGTGATTAAAAAAGGGGGGAAACCCTCAACAAAAGAACCTAGAATCAGAAGAGACCATAATGTTCCTAAAGTCCAGCCCTGGTTCCATGCAAGAATCCAAATTCAATCCTGTGAAATATGTCCTTCAATTATCATTCTTTTATAAAACACCTTCTGGAGAAGAAGAATAAAATTTGGAGCCCACCTTCTCCTCTTACTGTCTTCCCCATCATTTGATCAATGCAGGATATGCAGACAGCAGGAACATGACTCAGAGGTCCCTAGAATTGGAAGGAGACTTCAGACAATGGAATCCAAACTTCTATTTAGTGCAGAAATCAAGTTTAAATCATCCCTGCATGTTTGGTCAAAATGAACCAAGAGAGTTTCACCCATCACAGGCTGTATCCCTTGGTCTTCCTCCTTATTTATTTATTTATTTATTATTCAAATTTCTATACTGCCCTTCTCCTTTCGGACTTAGGGCGGTGAACAGCCAAAATAAAACATTTATACATAAAGTACGATTAAAAATAGATTTAAAATAATTACATTTGGCCCATAGTTTAAAATTTATCAATTTAAAATCCATATCAAAATTTAAAATCAACCATAAAATCATAAAATCAAGAGAGACCGGCTAACTGAAAGAGATGAGTTTTTAGGGCCCGACGAAAAGTCTGGAGGTCGGAGATCACTCGTATCTCTGGGGGTAGATTGTTCCAAAGGGTAGGTGCCACCACAGAGAAGGCTCTCCTCCTGGGGGTCGCCTTCTCCTCCCTGATACCAAAGGATAACTTAAATGCCAATTTTCTTTCCAAGACAGTTGTTGTAGAATGTCTGAAGGACTTCTTTGCATGCCAAACGTCTCTATTTCAATCCTAGGCATTTCCAGATACTATTAGAAAAAGTTCTGAATTGATCAGTTTAGGCACCATTGAATTTTGTGGGTTCTAACAGCAGCTAAATCAGCTTTTTACATTCCAAAAGTAGGCTACTAATGTAATGAGTGAGATAAATGAAGATAAGTTCTGAAGTTATTTTCTTTCCATCTTTTAAATCCTAGGTCCCCCTGGAGACCCTGGCACACCAGGAACCCCTGGACCTAGAGGAGATGAGGGAAATATAGGTTTGCCAGGATTTCCTGGGCAATCAGGACGTCCTCCAAGCTTTCCAGGTAACCTAGTTAAGAATCCATGGCTGGTGAGAGAATCCAAGGGTATCTTCATGTAAGAAGCCAACTACAAAGTATCTGATTTGTTTTCTGATAAGTTGATCATCTCTCTAGAAAGACATGGTCATCATGACATGTCTTTTGAGGCTGATAGGCTGACAAAGGCATACTTGTAAAAAAAATGTCTCAGAAAATACCAAAGAGAAAAATACAAGGAAACAAGGAAAAAGGACTTAGAGGAACTTTTAATATGTCTCACATATTGGGGCAAAAAAAGTGGGAAATGGGGGGAAATGTATAGTTTACTGATATTTAGAGTGGGTTTTCAATCACCTAATATCCTTTGCTTAATTTCTGGAAGGAATCAATGAAATCTCTGTCCATCTATCCTTCCCACTGTATTTCTGTTGTCCTTCCATCTTTCCTCACCCAGTTTCATCTATGAATCTGATGATGATGATGATGATGATGATGATATCTGTTCAGTTGGGTCTGACTCTTGGCGATTCTATGAGCCAGGTCTTTCCAGTCTTTCAATCTTGCACTACTTCTCTGAATTTTTCTATTCTCTGTCTGGTATCAGCTTTGATCGTGTCCAACCATGTGATTTTATGGATTATCTATAAATCTACATATGTTAAATTATAAAGCCTTCCGCACTGAATCCCTGCTTAGTTAGTTAGACCCATCTTTGCTAACCAGAACTGGTAGTCTTCAGATGGGTGCAATGTGACCTAAAGCTCAAAGTCAGTTAGAGAGGACACAATTGGCAAATCTCCACTAAAATATACCATCTCCTCAACTCCTTGAAAGCAATGGTGGCATCCTAAGCAAAGACTGGTCCCAAATGCTAGCAGAACAGTTTTCTAGAACTGTCCGTGGCTCTTCCAATCCAACAGGAATGTCGAGTGTTGGCTTACCTGGCCAAGATGCCTTAAACTAGAAAGTTGTATTCTATTGCTTTTAGCAGTTGAATCAGAAAATGAAGGAGCAGATTATTGGGTATGGGAATATGAATTTAGATGATAACTCCTGAAACATAGTCCTCATTTAGGTCTCCCAGGTTCAACAGGAGTCCCAGGGATCCCAGGATTTAGAGGTGACCGAGGAGACCCAGGAAGGACTACAGTTGGATCTCCAGGCCTACCTGGGAAAGATGGAGATCCAGGGTTACCCGGAGCTCCAGGGTTACCAGGTGCTTCAGGTAAGTCCAAGATCAGGTACAACTTCTATTCTGCACTGATTTTGTGTATGAAAATTGACCTGCTTTCTCTTTGCTGCAAGGAAATATCATCTTCTTGCTTGTCATGACTATCCAGTTTTCTAGATGCTTGAGGATTTTAATATCTTTTTTTCCCCAAAATGCAGATATAAAACACCCAGCAGGTACAATCTTTAGTGGAGAACCTGGGGAGCCAGGTATCCCTGGACCAAGGGGACCCCCAGGAATCTTCGGCTTAAAGGGGTATAAAGGTGAGTAGAATTCTCACTGTCTGGACATTCCCCCAATGTTCTCAAGTACTCAATCATGGTCTTTTTGGAAGAAAGCAGCTATAAGATGTACCACAACATTTTACATGAGTCCACTTGTGCAACATTTGTTTTTACTTCTTGGCCTGAGGAATGGCAGAATTTTCACTTTGGTTTGGAGGATCCATGCCCACATGGCCCAAAAAAAACCCCCCTTCTGTTTAGGAAAACATGGGCTTCATCTATTTATCTATATAGCTTACATTAGTGGACTAGATGCAAGATGCATAAATCTTTCCACTCCTAATCTAACACTTTAATCACTCTCAGAACTTGGAGGAAGGAGCCAGGCTAATTAACTGACCACCTGTTTCTGTGGCTGGAGGAACAAATGCTAGGATACATTCTTTCAGCGTCTCCCATAAACCAGAGATGGATTGAGTTATAATCAAGACAAGATTTAATCCTGAGTCAAGAATCTGTTATGAAGACATGGCTATTAACCTGCTTGTGGAAATTATTTTGCTTAGAGTGAATTAAGTACAAGGAGTAAAATTGTCCTTAAGTTGCATTAATGTCTGGGGACCTCATGGACACATTTCTGTAGAGTTTCATTTTCCAGAGACCTTCCAGCCAAATACTAACAAGTCCAGTCCCTTATTAGCTTTCCAGGATCTGCCAATTACCTGGGCATTGTGTAGAAGCATGTATCCATTCATTTAACCCATTAGCATGAACAATGTATTCACTCACTCTACAGAAGAAACTTGTCCTCCTATATTATCCTGATTCTATTTTTTGGGTTTTGTTGACACAAAAGACACATGCAGAGAGAGAGAGAGCAACAACTAAAATACAGATACTAGGTTTGTACCTGTGAACACTTATAGGTAGAATTTTTTTAAAAAAAAAACCTGATTTGAGGTCACAATTGTGGTGTGGCTCATGTCTGAAGTGAACTATTTTCCCCCCAGGGAACGGTGGTGATTGTGCCTGTGATGGAGGAATCACAAGAATTGGCTTGCCAGGAGAGTCAGGCAGCTCTGGTCAACCTGGCAGACAAGGTGATATTGGACCAAAAGGATCCTTGGGGGATCCAGGAGATGGCATACCAGGTCCCCCTGGACCACCAGTAAGTAAATAATGGATTTCTTTTGTTTGATAGGGAACAATGTCAGAAGAAATTAGAAAGGTGAGATAAGCTTAATTTTAAAAACTTTTCGTTTGGTGGGGAAGAGGAAATTCATCTTTAGAAGGCTATTTATGGTGGGTGGCCATACCCAGGAGAGGTTCCTCTGTCTCCAAAGAAGATCGGGCCAGAGTAATACTTTCCTGGGAGACTAATAGACTACTCTTCATCCCCATCTTGAAGAAAGCCTCATTATAGGTTCCTGAAATAAGGAATTATACTGAGGGGTGAAGTTAAAAGAGGGATTGGTCTAGAATCTCTATGTAGCCACAACCAAAGTTATTGTATTTTTCGGAGGATAAGATGCACCTTTTTCCCCCAAAAAAGAGGGTGAAAATCTGGGTGCGTCTTATACTCCCGAATGTAGCTCCAGAGGTTTCAGAGACTGAAAAAAGCATCAGAAACAAAGCTTCAGAAAAGAAGCCTCAGAGGCTTTTTTTCTGAAGCTCTGTTTTGGAGGCTTTCAGAGGCAGGAAAAAAAGTTTTTTCTGAAACAGAGTTTCAGAAGTTTCAGAGGCAGGAAAAAAAAGCAAAAAAAAAAGCAAGGCACAGGGCTCACAACCAAGGAACCTGTTGCTAAAATTCATCTCTGGGAAGAGCTGATTGGGGGTATCAGCTTTTTTCTTATTTTCCTCCCCAAATACTAAGGTGCGTCTTATATTCTGAAAAATACGGTAGTTGAGAAGATTCCTATGCATAGGCATGAGTAGTAATAAATCAGTTTAACTGGACCTTTATGTGTGGACCTGATCTTTCATGCCTGATATATGGACAGAATTTACTGTAGTTCATAATTTTATTATCTGATTCATATTGAACACCAAAAGCAATAAAAATAAAAATGCAGCATGTCCAGGTCCAATCTGGTTCAAACAATAACTCCTGAACCTTTCCCAGGTGCACCAGACAAGAAACATGACCAGATAAGCAAGTTCTACCTTATTCTAAGACTACATTAACAGAACCTTCCAAATCTGGAAGTACAAATCTCCCACCATCTTTTTTACAGTCTGAGATATTAGTGAGGTTCCTTTCTGAGGCCCTTTCTTTGTCCATCATGGAGCTGCAGGCTATGTCCTCTCTTATCTGATCATTTCCTAGACAGCAGGATGGATTTGATTTAAATCAAGTCGATTTAAATCACAATTGAAATCATGATTGAAATCACTAGTAAAAAGGCTTGATTTAAATCAACTCAATTTAAATCATAATTTTTAAAGAGCAACTGTCATCTCTGTCCCTCAGCGGCTCCTCCTCTGACCCGCTGTTGACTCACCGACAGTCCCATTCAATTTAATGAGACGGCTGTGACACAACAAGGTGAGGGACGTGACGGGCAGCAGGCGAGTGGATGCCCACTAAGAGGCGCTGCCATGATGGATCTGAAATGACAGGGGCTCTTTAATATTATATTTATAAGCTTTAGAAAGTTTCGCTTTTGTTTTTACTGCTTCCCCTTCCTCCTCACACTTAGAGCCTGGTGGTACAGATGCATTTCTCTTCAAACAATCTTACAGTTTGTCGTGTACATAGATTTGCAAAACAATGGGATAAAGGAATATTCCTGAACTTTGTTTTATGATTTATCTCATGGTTACTGTGAAATTGTGTGAATGCATCAATGCAGTGCATGTTATCTCAGCTTGCAGAGCTTGGATTCATTGAATGAGTTTACCAAAAATGTAAATATTGCGGAATATACAGCCTCATGCTACCTAACTAAGCTCCATTTCATGCCGAAACTAAATTATTAATGTATCTTAAATAGAAAACTATCTTTAGATAGATTTTTACTCCAAAAGCATTTTATTAAAATACATTTGATAAAAATAAAAAAAAATCTGATTTAAATAAAAAAATCTGATTTAAAACAAAAAAATCTGTGTTTTTTTTAAAAATAAAATCGATTTTTATCCACCTTGCTAGACAGTGTCTTTTATCCTCACTCTCCCCCTCGTCCCCCAAGATCATTCTACATACCATTTTACTCCCGTAGTTAATGAGTACATCATCTGTTTTTTCTGAACTCTCTCTGTTTGTCTTCCCAATGATACCCTTGACGTAATGTCCCGGTGCCTGGAGGCCATGCGGATCTGGATGGGGAGAAACAAGCTCAGACTCAACCCTTCCAAGACCGAGTGGCTGTGGTTCCCGGTATAGTCAGCTGGCTCCATTGCTGACTATTGGGGGTGAGATCTTGGCCCCCTCAGAGAGGGTTCGCAACTTGGGTGTTCTCCTGGATGCACGGCTGTCTTTGGAAGATCATATGACGGCCATGGCCAGGGGAGCTTTTTATAAGGTTCACCTGATACGCCAGTTGCGTCCCTTTCTGGACCAGGATGCCTTGCGCACGGTCACTCATGCCCTCGTCACGTCCTGTCTGGACTACTGTAATGCTCTCTACATGGGGCTACTCTTGAAGAGCACTCGGAGGCTCCAACTGGTCCAGAATGCGGCCGCGCGGGTGATTATGGGGGCGACATGTCGCACCCATGTAACATCTCTCCTGCGCGAGCTGCACTGGCTCCCGGTGGTCTTCTGGGTGCGATTCAAGGTGTTGGTTACCACCTTTAAAGTGCTCCATGGCTTAGGACCTGGGTATATACGAGATCACCTTCTGCCACCGATAGCCTCCCACCGGCCCATACGCTCCCACAGAGAGGGACTCCTCAGGGTGCCGTCAGCCAAACTATGTCGACTGGCGACACCCAGGGGGAGAGCCTTCTCTGTGGGGGCACCTGCCCTCTGGAATGAGCTGCCCCTAGAGGTGCGTATGATCCCTAACCTGCGTACCTTCTGCGGCGCCCTTAAGACTCTTTTGTTCCAACAGGCCAGGCTGGCTTAATATGAATTTTAAATCGGGTGTTTGTTAGCTTTTAACTTTGTGGACCAAATTTTATATATTCGTTTTAAATTGTTTTTAAATTTTGTGAGTTTATATGTGTTTTAATATGGCTGTACACCGCCCTGAGTCCCTTGGGAGAAGGGCGGTATAGAAGTTTAATAAATTCAATTCAATTCAATTCCAGGGCTTCCTAGGTCAATCTGGTCTTCCAGGCCTTAAAGGACAAAAAGGGGAACCATCTTCAGCCTCAGGAAGAGGACCTCGAGGAGATCCAGGGAATATTGGACTCAGGGGTCCTTCGGGGCAACCTGGAACTCCTGGTAGGGATGGCATTCCAGGTGTCCCAGGTCAACGTGGACTTGCGGTATGTTTGTCCATCTTGGAGCCCCTTAGAATAAGATGCATGCCTGTGTCTCCCCTAACTGGCATCCAGAGATGTTGAGCTTTATCACCTCAAATTCCTAGCGAGCTATGGCTATGGATTATGAGACCAGACTGCTTTCCTTTGATGATGTGGGTCACTATGTACAACTTGTCAAGTCCTTGACAAAAGAACTTCTCAGCTTTTGTAAACTCTTCTGCCTAGATTAAAGGGCTGACATTTAGATTAGATGTACTGATATTCCTAGGAGAAGATACGATGCCGAACCATCTGCACCCCAACTGTTATCTCACAAGAGATTTTCATCCACCTATAATTGATTTTCTCTCCACCTACCTACCTGACTGCTTCTTACATACCATACCAGGAAGCAAATGGTCCTGGGATACATCATTTCCTCAAAGATAACTGCAGCATCAGGGATCTGCCATATTTTTGGATGGCTTGGAGACCGCATTAGTTCTTTTTCCAGTTCAGACCCAACTCCAAGCTGGAGGTGCAGATTCATCTTCCTTAGAGGTGGGGCTTTATCAACCCTCAAAACCTTTGCTTCCAAACCAAGAGTATGTCTCTTGATGATTTTGCTAATCATTATTCTTGATATGGGGATTTCTCCCATCTGCATAGTCTTTTTTTGTATCTCTGTGTATTTAGGGTGATGATGGATTTGGCTTCCCAGGGGACAAAGGTTTCCCTGGATTACCTGGCACAAGAGGGAAGTATGGTGACATTGGCCTACCTGGCATTGGTTTCCCGGGGCCAAACGGACGTTTTGGACCTACAGGTGATCCAGGGATTAGTGGCATTCCAGGACAACCTGGACCTCCAGGGGCACCAGGTAAGTTATGTGGGGATTAATCTGATTTTGGATTGATCACCACAGCCAGGATAGTGGATCATTCAGATTGTTAGATGTGGACTTGGAGATCCAAGTTCAGGTCCCCACTAGAACTTGAGAGTTAAAGGATGCCTTTGGGCCCCTCAGTCTCAGCCCAGTCTACTTCACAGGACTATTGTGGGGATAAATTTAGGGAAGACATCCCAACCCCAAATAAGCCGCTCAAGCTGTCTGAGAAGATCTAATTGCATTTAACTCCTCTTCTCAGAGAGCTTGAGGTGATTTTGCAGACAAAGAACGATCTTAGGGGCTAAGCTTTCCTAAAACAAACTAATTGGATGGTGATGATGATGATGATGACGACAACATAAGCTTTGCCCTGTGGGATTGAGTCTTCACATTCTGCTTGGGATCAACCTTGCCTTGACCCAGAAGACAAAGACCAACACCATGCTGATTCTTTGTTTTTCATCCAAGGATTCCCCTCAATAATTGTATCACAGGCAGCATGGCTGTTTTTCTACCGTGGGTTCAAGTTAATTTAATTTTATACATCTATATATGAATTGGGTCTTTCATCCAGGGAGGTGCTTCATCTTGCAGATTTTAGTGATAAGCCTGCTAAAGGCACAGGGGAGCCCAGGTTTTTATGTTGCCCCACCTGTTGTCCGCCTTGTCTCTCAATGTGATGCAGACTTGTCTTCTAATGGCTTTAGGACTTCTAGCTCTTGTGACGACTATCTGGGTGGATTAACCCTGCATATCATACCTGTGAATTTTGGCGGCTTGGGATGCAAACCAGCCCTCTCGTGGGTTATCCTTTCTTTTTCTGCTCCCCCTTTCTCGTCTGCTTTGTTTTAACTTGTGCTCCTTTGCTTAACTGGTATAGGTGATTGCTGCTGCGGTGAGGAGGTTGGTAATGGAGACTTAGACGCTCAGGGAGGTGAGAGCGAGGGCCTGGGAGTTCAAAAGGAATGGGTGCACCCTCTTCCTTCCTGTTATGGCACAAGGCGCTCTCCCCCACACACATACGCACCCAGAAGCATGTCGTTCAACGATGTGGAGGGGGAGATCCTTCCTGGTGGACAAGGTCATCTGTGGCAAGGGGCACCATCCATGTAGGGGGAGCTTGCTTACCAGTGCTTTTCTCCTCCTCCTGCCCCATTTCAAAGTTGTGCCCTGCCATGCTCGCCATCTGCTTCCTTCTGGCTGTGTGTTCTTGTACCTTGCTTATTGCATGAAGCTGGTCAGTGACTTTGGAAGACACAAGTGCTTGACCCCTGAACAATTGATACTGTGGCAGCCATGAGCCCCACCACCACCACCAACACCAACACTACTGCCCTATTCCACAGGTTGAGATGTTTATGATTCAGCAAAGGATTGGATTGATGTTCACCTATGTATTCACTGGATTGGTGCTCATTTGGGGGGATGTTCTGGCAGTTGCTGTTTCACGGGAGCTTAATAAGGCAAGGAGGGGAGGGTAATTGGAGGGAGGGAGGGAAAACCTTAGAAAGCCCCACTGCTGCTTTCCTTTTGATTTTATATCAGTAAATAAAGTGTTTTGCAAATCCTAAATCAGGTGGAGAAATCAGGAGCCACAAGGGGACTACAGAGCTCTTTCCTTTTGCCACGCTTTATATGAAAATTTGTACAGTTCCATTCTGCTTCTGTTTGAGGACTGTGAAAATGAAATCATCCACAGAAATTGAAACCAAAGATATTTAGAACCTTCATGGGCCATGGTGGTCAGGTACCAGAACCACTCATGAATAGTCTAAAGCAGAAGCTTTATTGTTAGCCCCCTAAATTATAAGAATCTCCTCAGGCTGATTGCATTTCCTTAGGAATGGCCAGATTCCAGGGGAAGTTAAGTGTGCTGTTTTCTGCCATGGGAAGATTCTAAGCCAGGGGTCTCCAACCTTGGCAACTTTAAGACTTGTGGATTTCAACTCCCAGAGTTCCTCAGCCAGCTTTGCTGGAATGCTCACAAGCTGGAGGTCAGGATGAACACTTCTCCCTCCAATGTTCTACTGCAAGTCATATTTGAAGGCATGCCTGTCCCCTACCTAGAAGTAAGCTGGAGACTTCAGGCACCTCATTGTCCTCTACCATCAATCAATCCCTCTTGGAAGTCAATTTTTTGGTATTCTGTCCAAAGGGAGTACCAGAATCTGCCTCCAATCATGATTTCAAAATCATGACGATCCTACAAGTTGGACTTTCCCAGTATTCTAGCCCTCACATTCTGGACCTGTTGTAACTTTCAGATCATCTCCAAAAACTGCACCACATTGCAATCACCAGCTGTGATCAGCGATCCATCATGCTTTTTTTTTTTCTAGCAGGATAAAAATTTTGCTAGCTGCAAAATTGTCTTAAATCCAGATGTGAAAATCTTAGGACACTATAATAGGTTTGCCACTATGGGAGCAAAAGAGAAGCAAAAAAATTGGGAATTGGAGGTTGATGGCATTCTGCGTAGGGAAAAGCAGGCTGTACTGCAGATAATTGCAAAGAAAATCAGCTCTGTTCCTTGTCAGTGGCCCAGAATCACAGGAGTGCAGCATTATTCATCACCTACCCCAAAATTCCACATGCAATTGTCCCTAAGTAACAGAAGAAGATTTGAGCACTTTATTTTCTGGTAGATCTTGATATGTTGGCATTGCCCCTGTTTCTAGGGAACGTGGAAAAAGTTCTTACAAGTTTTGTTTAACCAAAAAAAAAAGAACAAAATTTTAACACATTTTCTGTCTTTAGGAGAAAGTGTGCCCTGCATAATCCCTGGATTCATTGGTCCACCTGGACTTCCGGGACCTTCAGGGTTTCCAGGTAGGTGGCTTTGGGCTTTAACTCAAGCTCCTTCTAGCCGTCAGAAGACTCAATTTCACAATATATAGACAGACTTAATCATAGTTTCAATTGGGAAAATGTGACTATTGTAGACAAAGCCAAGTCCAAAAATGCTAGGACCTGGCATTCTAGAAGCCTGGCTCTCTGACACATCAGCCATCAACAGACACAGACATTAACAACATCTATAGACTATGCAAAAGAGATAGTCAACAGGCCACAAAGGGAACAAAAAGACCCAAGCCTCTCTCCACTAGCAATCAGTACCCAGATCAGCATATATTAACTCCAAGGTTAACCTCAGACCAACAATACCCCAATCAAGAAACTGCCAAAGAAGCCAGCAGCAAATAGCCCAATCAAAGAACCTCTAAGACCACCACCCCCCACCCCCACACACACCAACACTGACCAGAGGAATTGCACTCCTTACTAGTACTGATGAAGTTACCTAGTTGGGTAATGAAATGTCTGCAAGAAAACAACCAAGCTCAGAGAGCACCAAGGACCCTCATTTAATCTCAGCTAAATTGACTTTACTCGTTGGAGTGCTTCAATGCAAAATGCGTTTAGGGGAGTCGTAGCATTGTTACAGTTTTTCTAGGAAGCTAAGAAGGACCCATGTTTCTTTCTTCCCAAACTGATTTTCTCCTCTATCTTCAGGTAACAAGGGTAGCAAAGGATTTCCTGGTTTTCCAGGGCAGCCAGGATTAAATGGCTTAAAAGGAGAACCGGGCATACCCGGGTTGGCTCGATTCCCAGGAATGCCAGGTAAGAACCAGAAAGGAGGCAAAAATCCAAAAGTCATTGGCCACACACTTCATAATATTGCCAACATTCTTACATGGATATATCCAGGAAATCACCAGGAATCAACTGAAATACCTGAACTTTTAAAAAATTAACTACAGATAGGCCTCGATTTACAACAGTTCATTTAGTACCATTCAAAGTTACAACGACACTGAAAAAAAGTGATTTATGGCTGTTTTCACACTTACGACTGTTGCAGTGTCCCCATAGTCACGTGATCAAATTTCAGCCACTTGGCAACTGGCTCATATTTATGACGGTTGCAGTGTCCCGGGGTTCATGTGATCACCTTCTGATAAGCAGAGCCAATGGGGAAGCCAGATTCATTTAAGAACTGTGTTACTAATTTAACAACTGCAGTGATTCCCTTAACAATTGTGGCAAGAAAGGTCATAAAATGGGGCAAAATTCATTTAAACAAATGTCTTGCTCGGCAACAAGAATTTGTGGCACAATTGTGGTTGTAAGTCAAGGACTACCTGTACTTTACCAAGAGACCTGAAGCATTTGCCATTCCCATCAGGGAGTTCGGAGAACGGAGAAATGGATGAGCAAGATCCTTAGGTTTTCCCTTAATGGATATCCCTTATTATTGACAATTGGAAACACAGCAGGATATCGAGCCTGAGTTGCTTCTATTCTGTGTTTCCATCAGCAGCTTTGCCTTTTTGGGTAGCATCCATTCCATCTTGTGCCTTGAAGTTCATTCGCCATAGACTGTAATGGTATGTGAGAATGACCTTGGGAGACAGGAGGAAAAGCTGCAGAGTAAGCCATGGTTAGATAAGAGGCAGCTTATCCTGAAGAAAGAATGGAAGCCTAGCAAACATCTCCCTCCCTAGTTTCATGGAATGTAAAAGTGAAGGGAGGTAGGGAGAGATGTACTTAGCAAGAGTTTCTTAATGAACCTTACCTTAAAGATAGAGCTATTAGTCCCCATGGACATAACTGGCAGGGGAAACCTTGACAGGACCCAACCTGAGTTGGTCACTGGGACAAAAGATTTATTCTTCCAAGCTTTCAGGCTTTGTGCTGGACTGAATGCACATATTCTGAGTTCCCTGATGATGGGCTCCAGCATGAGCTTGAAAGCTTGGATGAATAAACCTTGGGTCCCATTGACTGGCTCAGATTGGATCCTGTAACATTATCCTGGGACATTTGTATTCACCTTCATTTGTGGAAACCTTGACCTTGACCTTAATATTCCTGGGTCTGCTTCTTCTCTGGACGACTTCACAAAGCTAACCGAGATGGTTAGCTCTGTTAGCTTGGTGTCCACTATACTGGCTTTGCAGGGCTTCTAAGGACTTCTTTAATGCCTTGGCAAACCATGGTGCCTCCACATACCTGTGGGCATTTATTTTGTGGTACAGACATAACGATGGTTCGCTAGCATAACCGCAACATCATTCTCCACCTATCAAGTGTACGTGGAACTAAGTTTGCTCTCCTTATGAACATCATCTGAGTTTATTGCAGTCCAGGTTTTGCTGGAAATCATAACCACCCTGGATCCACTTGGATCCGGCGTATAATTTTATGAGCAGATGATGAGATGCATCAGCTGTTGCTGCAAATGTTGTCAGGTGCAAAGAATCAGGATTATTATTAAATTCCAGATAAGCTGATTTGTTGCTCATGCCTATACACAAGAATCTAGTCAATTAATGGTCAGCACTAAATTAGTACTAGATAAGAGTTAATGGGACTCAAGAGAGGCCGGACTTGGACCGTTTGTAGCTACGTAGAGATTCTAGGCTGGTTCCTTTCCTCCAGGCTCTGCCTTCTCTTCTCATACACCTTCTCCCCCTAAAGCGACTCTTCTCTGTTGCTTTAAAATTAATCATGCCTTCTTTTCTTTAAAGGGTTTCCTGGCCCTCGTGGAGATCCTGGTTCAAAAGGACGGCAAGGAGTTGATGGGGTCGATGGGCTGCCTGGTCCAGAAGGCTGTCCTGGTTTGGTTGGCCCAAATGGATCCCCTGGTGACGTGTTTGGGGCTGAACCAGGGTCCCAAGGAGAACCTGGCTTACCTGGCTTACCAGGAGATAATGGCGTTCCTGGAGATTTTGGCTTTCCTGGAACACCAGGTAAGTTCTAAGCATCTTTTGTTTGGTTTTAAAACGCCAAATGAAAACTTACTGAAGTTCAACAAGTCTGCTCATGGTTCTTTTTTGGATGGGAAACTCTCCCATGTATGGGAGTTTGAGTTCAAAGAGGGAAGGTAGAGAGATTTAAATGGGCTAAATGATTAAAGAAATCTACTGAAGAGAATATTGAGATCTAGCTTTTTGATTTCTCTAAGCAGCCATAGACGGCTTGTCTTTCTGGAACAATCCATAGTGGTCTCATTTCTTATAGAAAAATCAACCTGCTTACTATAGAAATTATAAGCTTTCCTGGATGTTTGTTGGTTTTAAGCAATGTTTTAATATTTCTTAATGATATGAAGCAAACTCAAACCCAGCTGGAGTATCCACTGTCAAAATGTGTACTATATTAATCATTAAGGAGTTCCAATAATTTTCCAATAAATATTGGACATAATACAAACCTCAATTACATTAAACACATTAAACACTAGAGTATGATACTCCTAAAAAAACAAAACTTATTTGTTTGTCTCTTAAACACTATTAAGAAAATGAAAACTAATTGATGGCTTGTCTTTCTGGAACAATCCATAGTGGTCTCATTTCTTATTATAGAAAAATCAACCTAGTTTACAAGTCACAGTGACTGGCTTCACATATCCCAAAAAAGATAAAAATCACAAGTCCAAAATCATTTCTTGCTGGTAAAATGTTGGGATAGAAGTTGCCATTTTTTTTGCAGTTCCTGGAATATGTTCTTCTTTCCCCCAAAAATGAATATTTAAGGGAAACATGAGCAAACAAAATCAGCCAGCTATTGTCATAGCTATGCTAACTTGTTTGACTTATATTTTCCAGGAAAAAAAAAAGCAAGCACTGTCTCACTTCATTTCAAAGGCAATGTAAACAATTCATCATGTATGGTATTTATTTAATTACCTACATTTATAGCCAGAAGGTTACAGATATCTTCTGGGGACAAGCTAATTCAAAGGAGAACTACATCTGTTTACAAAAGAAAACCAGTTCCTCACCCTTATAGTTAATGAGATAAGATTATAATGAAATTGCATTCTGTCTTTAAATTAATGTCCTCTTAACCTTGAGATGGAGCCTACTACTCAGGAGTTGTGTTCAGATCAAATCATACCTCTCATTGTCATGAATTACTTCTGGTTTGAAATAATTACATATTGCAAGATCCAATCTGGATCGGTCGCTGGGACCAAAGGTTTAGTCTTCCGAGCTTTCAGATTCGTGTTGGAGCCCATCTTCAGGGAATTTCAGTCTACTGGAATATGTGTTTTGGGCTATTCTATGAGTCATATGTATGTGGTATACACACACAACTGTAGCTACATATTTAACATAAGGATACACAGCTATTTCCACAGTGAGAACCCCTATTGGCCACTGAGTATCAAATTAGGATCTCATTCGACCCGATGGGGCTGGAAAAAAACCTGCCTTGACTTTAGATTCATTTACATTTAAATATAATTAAATTAAATATCATAAATAGGATTTCTCTCCAGCTGGGTATACAGTAAGTGCTTCCTTGTATCACCTTTAAAACTACACAGATCTTTGCTTTTTGAGGCTTTCGGAGGTTGGAAATGTCAAAAAGCCAAGGACCTCAAGATTTGTCACATCAGATTCACTAGGGGTGACCTGTGATAGCAGTCTTCCGATATTTGAGGGGCTATCACAGAGAAGAGGGGTCAACCTAATCTCCAAACACCTGAGGGCAGAACAAGACATAATGGATGGAAGCTAATCAAGGAGAGAAGCAACCTAGAATGAAGGAGATCTAACAGTGAGAACAGTTAATCAATGGAATGGCTCACCTCTAGAAATTGTGATGCTCCGTTACTGGAGCTTTTTAAGAAAACATTGGACAGGCATTTTTCCAGAATGGCATAGGGTCTCCTGCTTTTGCAGGGGCTTGGAGTAGAAGCCGTGTGACCCGTGCGCTCCCACAGAGAGGGCCTCCTCAGGGTGCCATCAGCCAAACAATGTAGGCTGGTGACCCCCAGGGGGAGAGCCTTCTCTGTGGGGGCACCTACCCTCTAGAATCAGCTGCCCCCAGAGATAAGGAGGATCCAAGACCTTAGTGCCTTCCGCCGTGCCCTTAAAACCCACTTTTTCCAGCAAGCCGGGCTGGCTTAAGAAGAAATTTTTTAAATTTTTAAATGTTTAATTGGTTTGTGGTTTTTTAAATTTTGGGCCAAATTTATATAGATTTTAATTGTTTTTAATATTCGTATTTCATGTTTTTAATTCTGGCTGTACACCGCCCTGAGTCCTCAGGGAGAAGGGCGGTATATAAATTGAAAATAAATAAATAAATAAATAAAGAAAGAAAGAAAGAAAGAAAGAAAGAAAGAAAGAAAGAAAGAAAGAAAGAAAGAAAGAAGACCCCCAAGGTCCCTTCCAACTCTGTCATTCTGTAATGATGCCCAAATCAGCCCCATTACTTTTGTTGAGCACCCATGTAAGGGGGAAAAAATGGGACTTAGATCTTTTTCGTTTTTCAGGTTTGGATGGAAATCCTGGCCTGTCAGGTAGAAAAGGAGGCCGTGGGGAGCCGGGTCTTCCAGGCTTTGATGGACTGCAAGGACCACCAGGACCAGGAGGTCCATTTGGCATCAAAGGAAAACCAGGCCCGGCTGGAACAATTGGCCTCCCGGGATCACAAGGTATGGATTGTTTCATCCTGGATGAAGGTGTGTGGCCTTCAGACACGCCCTCCACAGAGCTTTCCTGCAGGTTGCCCACTTGAGACATATCCTTGAGCTTGATAGCACTTTGGTGTTCAGGCTTTTAAACTTATTCAAGAGATTCCAGAAATTTGGAGATGAGATGAGAGAACAAAGCAGATGCTGAAACTCTCAGCCAAATACACTGAACTGGCATTGGATACAGGTAGTCCTCGAATTATGACCATCGTTGAACCTGGAATCATAGCTGCTGTTAAGCAGGTCAGTTAATGATTGTTCCCAATTTTACAACATTTTTTGCCGTGGTCATTAAGTGAACACTACAGTCATTAAACAAATCAATTTTTTTGCTGGAAACCAGGAAAAAAGGCCGGAAACCACAAAAACCCACTGAAAACTGCAGGCACATGACCCCAGGACCAATGCATTGGCTGGCATTTATGCAGACAGCCATAAACTAGTTGCTAGGTACTCAAAATTTGATCACATGACTGTGGAGGTTGATCACATGACCACAGGAAGGAGTTATGCACTTGTCAGAACTTCAAAGTCAAGTCATAAGTACCTTTTTTAGAGTATGCTGTAATTTTGAACAGTCACTAAACAACCAGTCATTAAACGAAGACTACCTGTATAGTTTCACTGAAAAGGGGGGAGGGGCTGGCGCATTGCAAAGGATTACATTAATGTCCAAGAATGTTTCTAGGCACCATTTAGACACTCTCAGCCCAACCCACCTCACAAAGGAAAATAGAAGAAAGAAGGAATATTAGAATATATTTGCTGCCTTGAGTTATTTATCAAAAAAAAATAAAGTCAGGATAAAAAAATATTTTAAAAATACTGTCCAGTCTGCCTCAGATAGATAGGTCATTGTACCAACTATTTAACTGAAGATTATAGAACTGTCTAAAATGAGCCTTTTCATTTCATGATCATATCATTCATGACTAACTTTCATGATCCATATTCATTGATTAATTTTAGGATCACCATATCATGGAAGATTTGCACCCCAACCATTTATTCTCATTCATATTCTCCAGTGCCATCCTGTGATCTTCCTGAGCAACCAGAAACACGTCCCAAAGGTGCTTTTTGCAACTAGACCTATTTTTTCCCTTGCAAATGTTTCACTTCTCATCCAAGAAGCTTCTTCAGTTCAGTTCAGATTCTTGAATGAGAAGCGAAATCTTCAAGAACAAAGAAAGTCCAGTTGCCTTTTGAAAAAGCACCTTTGGGACAACCATGACCTGGATGACTGAGAATCTCTATAGACAACCAGAAAACAGGTTTTCTTAATTTCTCAACAGCCTCTTGGGTGTATTGCAATTGCAATGGCCACATGTCCCTGTAGATGAAACTGTTTGGAGTTTCAGTTGACACCACAATAAACCATTCTGTTTTCAAACAAGAATAAAAACAGTTCAAGTACGGTGCTTAGCTCTATGCCAAGCATAATTCCCAACCATTCTTGTTCTGGAACAGGAATTACCTTGCAAATCCCTACATCAGTGATTCTAAATTTAACTAAATTTAGGCACTGAATTTAATAATGGCTGTATTTTTACCAGCTGTAACTGTTGGGCTGTCCTCAGTTACCCTTTGTTACTTGATAAAGTGCCCCTTCAATAATTTCAGCAAATGTCCTTCCATCACCATCCAGATTCTTTTAATGAAGGTGCCAGGAATTGGTTTACTTCTGCTTGCATTATATAGTGTATATAGCAGTGATGGCTAACCTTTTTGCCATTGCGTGCCAAAAGCGGGGGGAGCGAAGAGGGTTTGCGTGCGTGCATGCCCATACCCATAATTCAATATGCCCCGCCCCATCATGTGCCAAAAGTGGGGGGAACGTGGGGGGAGCACTCCCCCCGCGCTTCCCCCCCCCCTGCTTTTGGCACATGATGGCATGGTGGGCCTGGTAGGCCCGTTTTTCACCCTCCCCAGGCTCCAGAGGTTTGCTTGGAGGCTGGGGAGGGCGAAAACGGCCTTCCCCATCCCCCAGAGGCCCTCCGGAGGCTGGAAATGGCCTGTTTCCTGACTTCCAGTGGGCCAGGAACGGCCAAAAATCAGGTGGCCGGCCCGCACATGCGTGCTGGAATTGAGCTAGGGCAACGCTCACGTGCCCACAGATATGGCTCCACGTGCCACCTGTGGCACACGTGCAATAGGTTCGCCATCACAGGTATATAGTATACACTAACTTATGATACTTCCACTTGACCATGCATGGATCCTTCACCAAGAGGAGAATCCATCAATCATCCACATCCTGGATAACTGAGCTGCCAATTAAGGTGGTGGAAAGTGGTCTTCTCTGGCCTTGATGCCACAGCAGAAACAGTTCCTTGAAATAAAAATATGAAGTCCTGGGATGGCATGGAAAGAAAACAAAATCTGGAGGAATAAAAAATGTTCAAAGGAAATTCTGGAGGAAAACTATATTTCCCTTAACATCTATAGAGATTCTCAGTCATTCAGGTCATGGTTGTCCCAAAGATGCTTTTTTCAAGTGGCAACTGGACTTTCTGGTTTTTCTTTGAAGACGTTTCGCTTCTCATCCAGCTCTGGCTGGATGGAGGCCTCAACGACTCTCTAAAAGAATGCAAATGACCATCTGTCTACAAGGAGTATAAATCCTTTGATTTCCCACCATCCAGTCAGAGCTGAAGAAGCTTCTTGGATGAGAAGCGAAACGTCTTCAAAGAAAAACAAGAAAGTCCAGTTGCCTCTTGAGAAAGCACCTTTGGGACAATCTTTCTCTTACTCAAATGTTTATACCACCAACAGCTGCAGCCCAGTTTTCACATTCCTGCCTGCTGTCTCCATCCACCCAACCCCATCCATACGTTTGATCTAAGCTGTGTTGAGAAAGAGCTCAGTTGTCCCAAAAGTGCTTTTTCAAAAGGCAACTGGGGTCTCTTTATTTTTCCTTCAAGACGTTTTGCTTCTCAGCTTCTTGGATGAAAAGTGAAATGTCTTCAAGCAAAAATAAAGAAAGTCCAGTTGCCTTCTGAAAAATCACCTTTGTGACAATCATGACCTGGATGACTGAGTATCTCCATAGAGAAAGAGCTCGGTTATTTTCCAAGTCATTAACTTCATTCTCGGCCTTGTGCTTACTTCCTGGTTCACATGTTTTTGTCTGTTTTTCCTCACCATGTTTCTGTTCCATTTGCCATCATCTCTCCATTTCTGATGTCACACTGTTTTGGTTTTGGGGGTTCTCCACATAGGCTGCCAAGGTGAGAGCAAATGCTTTGTAGCGTAAAAACTCTTGGACTAACAGCTGCCTAGCCTATTTTGCTACAAAATGTGCGCTGACTGTGATACCCCTTATTTCAATCCTGCAAAGAATTGTGCCCTTTATCTTTTCGGAAAAGGATTTGTATGTAGGGAGGCGCTGCTGCACATGGACTTCTCATCCTGGAGAAGGTCTATCTGTGTGGCCACTGAATCTGGAGAAGGTCCATCTGTCTGGACACTAAGAGTCAATGCCAACTCAATTGCAAAGAATCAAGCAGCCAACACGGACTTCCACTGAATTTTAGTTCGTTGGTTTTTTTCCATCTGCAGAAATTTTATATTTTTTCTGAAAAAGAACCTGTGGCTTTTAAGTCGGGGTTCCCAACCCCTGGGCCACAGCCCACTACTGGGCCACAGCTTGTTTGAAATCAGACCATGGAAATTGTGGGCAATTGCACGCATGGAACCATCCTCTTTCCTCCTTCCACCTCCCCCAGTCCACAAAGCCAGAAAGTTTGGGGAAAGCTGTTTTAAGTGATGTTTTAGTCAATATTGCACAAAGTTTTTTTGGGTTTTTTTTTAGTCTCCTAGCATTACTTTTTGTGTTGCTGCCTGTCTAAACAAAAAAAAAAAATCATCTGGACCTTTAAGACTCAGCCTGATGAATTCAGAAGCTAGTATTTTTGTATTTGTATTTGTTTATTGAATAGCCCGAAGGCCTTTTCAAACAAAACAGAAAAGAAAAAGGGGAAAAGGCAAAACAGTTACAGAAATAACAATCTAAAAATATATGATATATGACATTAAAATTTTACAATATCAGATTTCAGTAGCTAAGTTGCCAAGACTAGATAACCCAAATAAGATAGCTCCTCTCTAACTCAGCTCATCTTTCTTACAATCAATGAAATTCTTTTGGATATAACTGGCTCATATTGCTGTCATCCTTTTAAGATAGCGAGTGATAGCCCTTACCATGGGAGGAGAGTCAGCCTTCAACAGAAATGCTAATTTATGCCTTATATTCCAGTGGGGAAATTTATTTATAATTGGGGACAGATATTGTTTTCTTACTTCCTCATACAGCCTACATTTGAATATTATATGCGCCATGTCCTCCACAACATTTACCCCCCATATACATGTTCTTTTGTCATACATGTTCTTTCCGGTAACGACCGAATTTAACGTAATTCAGAAGCTGAAGTCCACCCTGTTGGGCTGGTTTTATCAGAAAAGTTATTTCTAGCGTTGTCAGCACAGTTTTGTAGAGCATTGTTTAGATTCTGCCTCAGTCATGCTTCAGCTTTTAAATTTAATTTTAAAAAAGTAAAGGCTAAATCAAATTGAGCTTGACTTCTGGTGACTGCATGGATATACTGATGATAATTTTACTGGCAACAGCATCGGTGTGAATTGCCAAAGCTTTCTCCTGGAAGATGGTACAGTTTTGCAGTCCAGACTACAGCTCTATCCATTGGTGTCCTATCCAAGCACTAACCAATCCAACTGCTTAGCTTTGTCAAGATCAGATACAGCCAGTTTACTGCTGCAATTAGTGTGACTTCCTCTGAGCCAAGCACAATTTGTGATTTCATTCGTGTACAAGTGACTATTTCCCTTTAACATTAATAGGTTTTCTCCACTGGAATCCAGTCCAGCCCACTGTCTAGAGCAGAGGTCTTCAAACTTGGCAGCTTTAAGACTTGTGGACTTCAACTCCCAGAATTCTGGCTGGAGAATTCTGGGAGTTAAAGTCCACAAGTCTTAAAGCTGCCAAGTTTGAAGATCTCTGCTCTAGAGTATAGAATAGAGGAAAAGCAAAGACTGGGAAAAACTTTTTGGTGTGATTTAGAATGACAGTAGCAAGTGGAATGTGACACATCAAGAGGTTTCTGGTCCCCATTGGTAGCCTTCCTGAGTCACGTATTTCCCAAGCGGTAACTGATAAGACCTAAATTATCCCAACCATAAGGGGTTTCACTGTTGGCAGTTGTCCGTTGGTACAGGCAGTAGCTTTCCTAGAGCTTTTAATCATTAGGCAACTAATACTTTTTTTTTTACATTTCTAACCTTGTGTGCTTTAGAAAGGCTGCATGATTTATTTATTTATTTTTGGCCGCAGTTCAGTTAGCTGTATACAAATAAAATGCTTTAGTGTTAACCTCTTGAAAGATGGCGCAGGGATGTCGTCTTTGGAAGAACGTCGTGGTGATGGTTTGGATTTTGAACCATTCAGGACTTCCTGGAACGAAAGGACCAAGAGGAGATGCTGGTTCACCAGGTCCCGCCGGCATGAAAGGGACGCCAGGTCTTGATGGCCTGCCAGGACGGCCGGGAGAACAAGGATTGCCTGGACCTCCAGGTCTCTGGGGCCCAGAAGGAACTCCAGGTTTTCCAGGCTCAAAAGGTAACTGTTCTGGGCTTTCATGAGATTTGATCTGCCTTTGATCTGTGTTGGAATTTCCAGGTTTGCTCTGAAGGAACCTGTGAGCTGGAAGACTGGGCTCAGAAGATGATTGCAGGTAGTCTTCAACTTACGACCACAACTGAGCCCCAAATTTATGTTACTAACTGAGATATTAGTTAAGTGAGTTTTGCTCCATTTTATGATCTTTCTTGCCACAGTGGGGAATGACTGCAGTTGTTAAAATTAGTAAGAAGGTTGTTAAGTGAATCTGGCTTTTCCATTGATTTTCCTTGTCAGAAGATGAACACATGGGACGTTGCCTGGGACGCTGTGCGACGCTGCAACCGTCATAAATATGAGTCCAAGCGTCTGAATTTTGATCATGTGACCATGGGAATGCTGCAAAGGTCGTAAGTGTGAAAAAGGGTCATAAGTCACTTTTTCAGTGCGATTGTAATTTTGAATACAGGTAATCCTTGACTTACAACACTTAATTTAGTGACCGTTCAAAGTTACAATCACATTGAAAAAAGTGACTTATGACTGTTTTTCACACTTACGACCGTTGCAGCATCCCCATGCTCATGTGAGCAAAATTTGGACGCTTGGCAACTGACTCACAGTTATGATAGTTGCAGCAGTGATGAAATTAAAAATTTTCCCCTACCAGTTCTGTGGGCGTGGCTTGTTGGGGGGAGGTCATGTGACTGGGTGGGCATGGCCAACTCGACATCACTCATATCGAGGGGCTCGTCACCGGCTCCTCCCTTCCCAGCCACTCCTTGTCGCGAATGGCAGGAAAATGGGGAGGGGAATATTCCTGCCTACCATCCTTCCCTCAGTCTGGAAGGAATTGAGGAATGGATGACATGGGGAAGGGGATTTTCCTGCCGAAAATCCCCTTCCCCATTTTTTATTTATTTATTTATTTATAATTAAATTTATATACCGCCCTACTCCCGAAGGACTCAGGGCGGTGAACAGCCAGAAAGTAAAATATACATAATACAAACGTTAAAAACCATTTAAAATACATTAAATACTTTGGCCAGATTTAAAACACCCCAATTATAAAAACAATTTAAAAACAATTAAAAAGGGAGGTTAGGCCAGACCAGCCTGCTGGAATAAGAATGTTTTGAGGGCGCGGCGGAAAGTGCGCACATCCGGGATCCTCCGTATCTCCGGGGGGAGCTCGTTCCAGATGGCAGGTGCCCACACAGAGAAGGCTCTCCCCCTGGGGGCCACCAGTCGACATTGTTTGACCGACGGCACTCTGAGAAGACCCTCTCTATGGGAGCCTTTTCCTGCCTTTCACAAAAATTGCTCCATTCCAGCTGCTCTTCCCCCCTCCCCCTCCCTCCTGGGGACTACCTTAAAGAGACACTCTGCAGCAGCTCCATTCTGAATGGAGGGAGAAAAGTTAGGATTCTCTCTGCTGCATTTAACATTGAATTCTGTGGAATATCGAGTGTCCGGAAGAGGTGAGCGGCAACTGGCTGGGCGTAAGTGAGGCCAACGAGGGGTGATTACTACCGGTTCGGCAAACTGATGCCAATAATCCCTAGCAGTTCACCCGAACCGGTCCGAACCGGTAGGATTTCACCCCTGGGTTGCAGTGTTCCAAGGTCATGTGATCCCCTTTTGTGACCTTCTGACAAGCAAAGTCAATGGGGAAGCCAGATTCACATAACAACTGTGTTACTAACGTGACAACTGCCAGTGATTCCCTTAACAACTGTGGCAAGAAAAGTCATAAAAGGGGGCAAAACTCACTTAACAAATGTCTCATTTAACAACAGAAATTTTGGGGCCCAATGTGGTCATAAATTGAGGACTGATTGTAGTTGCTATAAATGGGTGTAAGTTGGGGACCACCTGTTCTAGCTTTTTTCTTTTTAAAGCATTTCTACTCCTTCTTTCCCCAAAAATTCAGTGTACTTTGCATAAAATAATGCTTGGTTGTTCCAAACTAGGTGAAAAGGGCTCAGTGGGCATGGCTGGTTTTCCTGGGATGCCGGGGCCATCTGGGGTCCCTGGCGTGGATGGCCTGAAAGGAACGTTTGGTGCACCAGGAAGAAATGGAAACCCTGGATTTTCTGGCTTGCCTGGCCTCAAAGGTGAGTCCAGAAATTTTGCATGAAGCACAGCATATGACCAACCCAACCCAAAAAGTTTTGTGTATCAACCTTCTGATGAAACTAGGACTTGATTTCTTTCTTTCTTTTTTTGAATTTTTTTTTATTTTTAAACAAACATACATAAAACCATCTTCAATTGCAAACGGTTGGTTACAAGTCTTTTGTGCATCATTCACCAAATTCATAGCTTACAATTTACAGTTTACCTAAATTCTCATATCATCGACCTATTATATATCTATATATTATTATCCTCATTAATCATTTATTTGACTATGGCTATTCCTTCCCTCATTTATTCAAAATATTCTAAGATTTGAGTTAATTTTTATTATAACATTCATTTCATTCTCTTGAATCTATCCAATGATAATATATCTTTATGTTATATTTCACATAGTTCTACAATTCTTGTATTGTGAGGATCTCTACCATATTTCATTTCCATATTTTTTTATTTAACTATTGATAAAATAGGTCCGATATCTTATAGTATTGTTTATCTTCTTGTTCTCTAATTTCAAATGTCAATTTGCTCATTTCAGCACATTCTATTATTTTCTTAATAACTTCATCCTGCGTTGGTATTTTCTCATTTTTCCAATTTTTAGCAAACACAATCCTAGCCGCTGTTAATACATTCACAATCAGATATCTCAATTCTCTATTATATATTTCAGGTACAATCCCCAATAAAAAAAATCTCTGGTTTAAAATCTATGTGTTTTTTTTATCATTTTTTCCAACCATGTGTGGATTTTAGTCCAGTATCTTTTGGCTTCTGCAATAGGACCTGATTTCTTTTGCCCAATGTTTAGAATTGCCTTCCAATTCTTGTATTTCACAAGCCTCCTCAAAAACTGTAAGTTTTAGTCACAACGACCTGGTTTCTATGTACCAATAAAGGAGAACATTTGCAGCTCAGGGTTGACATGGGGTGGTCCTTGGTGCTTTCTGAGCTTGGTTGTTTTCTTCAGATGTTTCATTACCCAACTAGGTAACATCATCAGTGCTAGTAAGGAGTGGGGTTTGTTCTCAATTTATATGCTAGGTCAGGGGTCCTCAACCCCCAGGCCACAGCCCACTACTGGGCCTTGAGCCATTCGGAGTCATACCATGGAAGTGGCAGGCAAGCACGTGTACATGAGTCCCCACTTGCGCAAGCCGTGGGCATGCGTGTGTGCCCGCAGCTTGCACAAATGGAGCTACACACATACACACACACACACACTTGCCTGCTGCTCACATGGAATCATCCCCTCCTTCCCCCCCACCCCCACGGGTCTGCAAAGCCGGAAAGGTTGTGGGACTCAGTTCTAGTGGCTTGAACCAAACTCAAGATACCACCAAGGACCACTGATTCCTGTGTCCTTGCAAATGCAACTTAAGGCTACGCAACTGAAACAACTACGGTAGTTAGTTGCTTTTCCTGCTTACACCCCTCTCTCTCCATTGTCCTTCTTTTGGTAGTTCGACTCCTGTTAGTAAGTTCCTTGGGAGAGAGATTGGTCTTCTTCTGTTCTACATACTGTAATATGCAAAGTGCTTTTGAGGCTCTATCAATTAAGGCAATTTGGACTCCAGATCTAGATACCTCTAAGCAGGAATGTCTGGTGCTCTCTGGATCAATATTGGTAGAATAAGCATCTTGCTGTGTTCCTCTTTCTTCTTTTGCGCAGGAGACAGAGGTGTCCGTGGTCCTCCTGGGCCTCCCATTTTCAGACCCCCAGATCTGGCCCTCAGATTCAAAGGGAACCGAGGAGATCCTGGATTGGTGGGGGACAGAGGATTTCCAGGGCCAAGAGGTATGTGTTTGGCATTAGACGGTAACATACCTATTTGTTCTGAACTATTTAGACAATTCAAGGGATGCGGTGGCTCAGTGGCTAAGACGCTGAGCTTGGCGATAGAAGGGTCGGCAGTTCAGCGTTCGAATCCCTAGCGCCACGTAACGGGGTGAGCTCCCGTGACTTGTCCCAGCTTCTGCCAACCTAGCAGTTTGAAAGCACATAAAAAATGCAAGTAGAAAAATAGGGACCACCTTTGGTGGGAAGGTAACAGCGTTCCGTGTGCCTTTGGCATTTAGTCATGCCGGCCACATGACCACAGAGACATTTTCGGACAGCACTGGCTCTTCAGCTTTGAAACGGAGGTGAGCACCGCCCCCTAGAGTCAGGAACAACTAGCACATATGTGCGAGGGTAACCTTTACGTTTACCTTTTACTTAGACAATGATAGGTGACCAAGCTGGCTTTCTTTGTCCAGTTGGGTGCATATATAGATATTAATAATATTGTTTTGGATCCTGTTTGTATTTCTATTATTAAGATATGTCCTTCTGTGTCTGCATATATTTGTTTTGTTTTTAGGTGTTTCTTTACATATATTACGACTCCTCTCTTTTTTTGGTCTCCTAGAGATGCATATAGTCTTCCTAATCTTTGATTGTCCAATAATTTTTGATGCTGTCTTTTGATATGTACTTCTTGGAGTGTTATGATATCTATTTCTAGTTTTTGAAGTTTTGTAAATGTCTGTTTTCTTTTGGCTGGTGAATTAAGTCCGTTTATATTGATTGAAATAAGTTTTAGCTCTCTTTCCATCTCTCTTTGTTTATCTATTCGTTGTTTTCAGTCTTTTTGTGTTTCTAGTAATTCTGTTTGCCGACTTTCAGTGGGCCCGGAAGGCCCGAAAATCAGCTGGCCGGCACGCACATGCTCACTGGAGCTGAGCTAGGGCAATGCTCATGTGCCCACCAATATGGCTCCGCGTGCCACCTGTGGCACGCGTGCCATAGGTTCGCCATCACGGCACTAGATCATTGTTTTATCTTTCCATAGGAGAAAAAGGAGCCCCAGGTATCCGGGGGCAGCCTGGGCTTCCAGGGAGAGCTGGATCACCAGCTAGAGAGAAAGGACTGCCAGGAGACGCAGGTTTCCCAGGAACGTTTGGTTCTCCTGGGCTATTGGGACAAAAGGGATCTGGTGGCATCTCAGGGTTTCCTGGAATGCCTGGGGGAAGTGTAAGTATCCTTTCTCTTTTTTCTTTTTACACCTGGTTGAGTGGGAAGCACTTCCACTGTTCTTCCCAGTTCAATGGTGGCCCCACTTTTAGACTTTTGGAGTCTTAGTGAACTCTTACCAAATTCAAGATCCTTTGGGTCCTTCATATGGGTTTTTGTTGTGGCCTGTCAGCTGCCGGCCCCTCCAACAGCCGAATCAGGTGAGGTGAGGTGGGAGTCAGGGCCAGCATCAAGGCAACCTAAGAGCTCCAAAGGGGAAGAGGCAATGGAGCTATCAGAGTTAGAGACAGAGGTGGGGCTTGGGCTGTCTATCAGCCCTCAGATGGAGAGTCAACAGCCCCTAGGTCTGGCGATGGCTGATGAGGAAAAGGAGGAAGAAGAATGCGCAGAAGGCAGAGGAGAGGAGAGCAGTGGAAATCTATGGGCCGATCCTTGGGACAGAAGAGCCACCACTGCTAGCGAAGCCCCACCCTAGCTCTGGGAATAAAAGACGGTGTGGAGATGAATAGGTGTGGCAGACAACTATTCATCTCCTTGCTGGTCTGCCATTGATAGCCTGTTGAGAGAGAGAACAGAACAGTTTGGGTTCATATCTTTTTGATCAGGTAGAAGCAGATTAGCCATATAACTTCTAAAGGAGGTCGGGATCTGCTTTGGGATGATGGCAGAAGATCTGAGGACGGAGCCAGGAAAACAGCCTCTCTGCTTTTCCCTGGGTCTCCTGTACCACACAGTCAACAAATGGGAGAGGAACCTAGATAGAATTTCTTGTGGCTGTTGATCTTGCTATTGGATTGTGTAGCACTGTGTAGATTGCCAGAAGTGTCTCCAAATAAGAAATCAAAAACCGGAGTTGGCAGTGACCCTGCAGTCATTCTTTCCCAGTCTCTAAAATCCCTACCAACTGCATTTTCCCCTCCAAATGTTGTATATACTGCAAAGTAGTCCTCGACTTGCAACAGTTCATTTAGTGACTGTTCAAAATTACAAAGAAACTGACAAATGTGACTTATGACCATTTTTCACACATATGACTGTTGCAGTGTCTCCATGGTCATGTGATCAAAATTCAGATGCTTGGCAACTGGCTCATGATGGTTTTAGTGTCTCAGAGTCATGTGATCCCGTTTTGCAACCTTCTGACAAGCAATGTCAATAGGGAGGCCAGATTCACTTAACAACCATGTCACTAACTTAACAACTGCAGTGATTCTCTTAACAGCTGTGGCAGGAAAGCTCATAAAATGGGGCAAAATTCACTTAACAAATGTTTCACTTAGCCACAGAAATTTTGGGCTCAAATTTTCGTGGTCGTAAGTCGAGGACTACCTGTATTAAAAACGTTCTGTGGCACCTTGTGAGTTTTCTAAGCTTGTACATTTCAGTCAAACACCACAACACTGGAAAAAAAATGACTTGACAGCCGTTTTTCACACTTATGACCATTGCAGCATCCCCCTTGGTCGCTGTAGTGGTTTCAGATTGCTGGTGGTCACAAGAATAGTCACTAGAAAGGAGCTTCCTCTCTGGATACTAAGAGGCCAATCACACTTCCATGAAAGCTGATTTCAGGGTTAATTATGATTATGACATGCCACTTCCTTCAATAGGGTGCTGAAGGTATTCCAGGCTCCCCTGGATCCCCAGGAATTACCGGATTGCGTGGTCCAAAAGGTAAGTCATTCGTGTGGTTCAGTAGTGGGTTTCACTTACCTTCACTACCAGTTCGGAATTGTGAACTGTGCACGCAGAGCACTTCTGCACATGTGCAGAGCGTCCGTGATGACATCTGGGTGGGTGGGCGGAGCCTCTCATTGCCACCGCTACCAGTTCGCCCTGGTTCGGGCGAAACCGACCACTAGTGTGGTCTTGCTAACATCTTTTAAAAAACCAACAACAAAGGGGCCTTTGCAGACTGTTTGCTGAGAAAGGGAAAAGAATGAACTGATGGTTTATAGATAAAATGATTAGAAAGAGTAGATTAGGAGTATTAGAAAGAATATTCAATTAGACAAATGGGAAAAACTATGGAAAATAAATTATAAAATGACAATGTCTGTATCCTATAAAGAAAATCTCTATAAAATGTTTTATAGGTGGCACTTGCCACCAGCCAGATTGGCAAGAATGTTCCCCGGCACACCATCAACATGTTGGAAATGCAACCACCACAAAGGCACCTATTACCATATGTGGTGGACCTGCCCAATGGCGAAACAATATTGGCAAAGGATCAAAATACAAATAGAGGAAATAACACACCAAAAGACAGAACTAAGACCAGAAAGCTTCTTATTAGGCATAGTGAATGGATACTATGAAAAAGAAACAACCTATTTAATTATACATATGATAACAGCAGCACGAATATTATACGCGCAACACTGGAAGAGTAGTGATATACAGATAAAGTAATCAATAAAACTATGGAATGTGCGGAATTAGATAGACTCACAAAGGAATTATAAAATAGGGAAGAATGTGACTTTTACTTAGTATGGGAAAAGTGGTATAGTTGGTTGAAAGATAGGAAAGAGATGAAGCGATAGGAAGTAAATAAAATGACCAAATATAATATGATGGAAACAAAGAACAGACATAGGTCAACAAAGATCAATATTAGATAGACAAAAGGGAATGACCAAATAAGGAAGAGTCAAAATACAAAGAGAAATGTATATTATAGTTGCGACAAACTGGACATGTATTGAAATGGATGTTTATATGTTTTTATGTTTTGTACGTTTCATTGTTCTGTTTAGTTTATACTTATAAATAAAAATTGGAGAAAAAAAAAAGAGTAGATTAGGGAAAGAAGAAACCTTTGATATAATCTTAGAGAGAGGAGTAAAATATAAATGTATTTATAACAACTGTTAAGTAAACCGGAAACCACTTCTTTTTTATTCTTTCTTTTTCCTTTTTTTTAATACTTCCTTTTATATAGTTCATTTTCACTTCTGTATTACTTTTTTCCATTTCTCAAAATTCGTATTGATTATGCTCTGTGTGGGGAAAAACCCTTTAAAAATGTGGAAGAGAAAACCCCCAAAAGGTTTTCCTAGAAAACTCTGGATGTGGGAGGGCGATAGTGAATTGTCAGAATTGCTGAGATCAAAAGCAAATGATTGTCTTTCCCTTTTCAGGTGACCGAGGAGAATCCCGAGGAATCCCAGGTGGCATGGGAGCTAAGGGCCAGCGAGGGGACCGAGGGCTTCCAGGTAAATAAATCAATACCCTACAATGACTCAAGGAAGGGCAACTAGTAGGCTTACCTTAGATTACTTTTACTAGTACATTAACTAAAAGTCTGCCTGTAGGAGAACAACAGGCAGAGCTGGGAGTGGAGTTAAGCACGTCATCAGCTTAGAATCATTAACATTGCCACAAACAGTTTATGAGAGCTTATGCACTGAGGGCAAATTCCTTGTGTGTCCAATCACACTTGGCCAATTAAGAACTCTATTCTATTCTTGAATTCCATTGAACCTTATCTGATGCCAATTTAGTACTGAATTTTAGTTGCCTAGGTTTTTGTGTCTCAAAAAACTTCAGTAATAAGTCTTTTGAATTGCAACTTAACTTATGGTCCTGATCCTATGCTCCTGACACCAACTTTCTTAAGGGATCAGTGTTAACTTCCTGAGGTTCCTTAGAAAAGGACCCCCACAGTATGGTTGGGTGATTGTAGACATGCCTTACGAATAGACGCTTGTCAGTTCAGCCTTGCCATTTCTGGCTAAAAAGAGAGTAAATTCCCATTCATGATTTTAGAGGTTTTTTATCCCATAGAAATACCAAGTTCATTTATCTTAGAGATGTGAAAACCTGGGTAAAAATTAGACAAGGGTACAAATTTTCAAACTCCAAGAATTTCCTAGGTTGGGGAAGATGGCAATTTAATGGCTCATTTTATGGTTTTTGAAGGTATAACAGGTGTCCAAGGAATAAAAGGTGACCCAGGATATCCAGGAGGTCTTGGACTAAAAGGACAGAAGGGTTCACCAGGTAACCCTGGACAAGAAGGACCACGAGGTAACCAAAGCCATTTGTTTATCAGGTTTGGGGCCGAGACATGTCATTTGCAAGGTGCAGAGGGATTTTAATGCAGAGGGATTCGCAGTTTATTTGCATCCAGAAACTTCTCCAGAATTCTCACAAAGACGTCTGCAAAATTGAAGGATACATAAATTCTCATGCAAGATTGTCCAAATCTCATCATTTCCTTTGTCTTGAAAATCTCCGCAGCTCGGTTGAAAACACACCACAGAAGAAGACGTGGCATATCATTTCTATGATGTTGCCACAAAACTTTGTACCCACATAGTCACCAAGAGTTTATCTTGACTCAAGGGAGGCTTGATTTATCCAATCTGGCTGAAACTAAGGTGGATAAGATTTGGTCAGTGCCTAGATGGGAAAACTCTGGAAACCTTGTTACATTGCTTTATGTTGTTACTCATAGTACCTGTAAATTTAAATAAATGCTAACTACTTAATATTTTGATTCTGTGCTTTCGTTCACTAATTCTAAATTTGTGTCCTTGGAACTCATTTCATTGAGTATCGTTGAGTAAGACTCCCAGCTTCTGAAGGTTTTAACATTGTGGAGATATATATTCTGCAACTTTAGGAGCTCAATTTTAAATAATTCTTTGTTTCCCCGCTTTAGGCTTCCCTGGATCTGGCGCTTCAAGGGGCAACCCAGGTTTTCCAGGTAATCCTGGGCAACGTGGAACTCCAGGATTTCCTGGATCTCCTGGCACTGCAGGACAAAAAGGTTGGTTTTGCATTTTGGGCTTGTTCTTGAAAACCTTACTTCTAGAGAGAAACTCAGATTGTGGGTTGGAATGCCAAATCAAATCTTACAAAGATTTTTGGCATAACATTGGAGATGGATCAGTGGATTATCAAGCTGGAGACATATGGTGAATTTCCTTCTCCTTCACTTATTAACAGCAATTGGGAATTAGCAGTGGGATCAGGGAGAAACCCACAATTGATGACTGCTAGGTGTCCTTGGTTCACCAATCCCAACAGGCCATTCCTACTTCAGAATTGATTAGCTGGATTTATACACGAAGAGGACATAGGGCAGAGTCTTTCATGACATTGCTTGGATGAGCAACAAAATGTCTCACATTAACAAAGTTTGATCCAATCGCCGTGATTCAACCTTTAGACACTTTGGCCTGGATGATTGAGTCTTCATTGACATATAGGACAGGGTCTTACTGTATAGGATTCTACTTCTCACATTCTTGTTTTGACATGTAGTTGGCCAGGATTTCTCAACTTCCTTGAAAAACCTGTGTGATCCTGACATTCTCTAGTATTGTATTATGTCACTGAATTGATTTTTGCCTTCAAAGTTACCTTTGTAAGCTTCCTTGCAAGTCTCTTGGCCAAACATCTACTATGTTCTTATAGTAAATAAAAACAATAAATATACAGCAGCAGCTGCTGCATTTTCTTAGTGACCACCAAAATGGCATCAAACCTTCTAAAATGTATCTACAGGATTCCCAGGATTCCCAGGACTGACCGGCCTAAATGGTTTACCGGGCACCAAAGGTTCTCCCGGAAAACAAGGTAAATCAAAAGATCTTTAGAAACATCCACAGTAAGATCAAAATGTCAGGGGTTCCAAGTAATACACCCATAACAAACAGAACTTCAAGGCAGGATGATTCCTCAAAGGACAGTTTTATTTGGTATATCGTATTGGCACAGGATGGTGAAAACCAACTCTAAATGTTCCTGCCGTTTTCACCTAATTAAAAGTAAAAGTTCATTCCCTTCACCAAACAATCAGTCACACGGTCCAATCAAGGTACCATCTGGTTGCCTGGTAACTTCACTCCTCCTCTCTCTCACCACCTGTGGGAATGTCCTTGGTTCCCAGGAGAAAGTATTTTGTTTTGGCTACAAAACCCCAGCTATCTCTATTCCACCCACCTCTCCCCCAGCTCCAGTGTGGCAACACTGATGCCTCCAAATGGCCTCGGTCAGGTCAGCTTCAGGGTTGACACAAAATGCAGCAATATCATCCCCTAAATGGTTCCATTTTGTCCAACCTCTGGTGCAATTATGTGATTCCAATAGAAAAGAATTTATGTAGTTCAGGGTTGAACTGTGGAGTTTTTGGTGCTCTCTAACCCTGACTGTTGACTTGTAGACATTTCATTACTCAGCTAGATAACCTCATCAATGCAAGTCATATTAATCAAGGTGAGTGACAAGCACAGATGATATTATCTGTTAGGTAAAAAACAATTAAGTTTGGAGAGCATCAAGAATTCCACAAATATGTGAGTTGAGACTTTTGGATGGTGATGTTGTCAGCTATGTTTTGGCATTTGACTGCTCCCTGCAGAAGCATCTAAAATCCTTTTCCTGCAGATTCTTAAAAGCCGTGTTTTGCTTTCTCCCATTTTGCAGCCAAATTCTGAAGTATCAGAGCTACAGAAACAGGAGAATGTTTTTCCAGCTTCCCCAATTTGGTTCCCTGTGATTTATTTCAATCACCAAGGATTGCTGGCATCTGGGTCAAATTGGTGTTCATTTTTTTTCTAATTTTATTAGGCCTGAGTGAAAATGGACTACCTGGATCGGCAGGAATTCCAGGTGTCAAAGGTCAACGAGGTGACCCTGGTTTCCAGGCTGGAGCTCCTGGCCTTCGTGGACTGAAAGGACCTGCAGGAGAAATGGGTAAATAATAAAAGTTGCAAGAAAGCGAATACTATAGTTGAATAGCATCAAGAGCTGTAACAGCATTCAAATTATCCTGAATGACGTCAAGAATTATTAAGATTGAGATGACCCTGATTCAGATCTTATCTCCATCTGAACTAGTCATGAAGATATCCAAAGGAGTTCTTTATTCTCCACCGCAAAATAAGCCACATGAAACTTATAGGACTGTTGCAATGAATACTTTACTCAAGTATGATAAAGCCAAGTATTTAATATTCAAATACTCAATATTTAATTCTAATAGATTATTTACTACAGTTGTTATACCCAAAAGGGAGACTAGGGTTCCCTTTTCCCTTCAACAATTAATTTTTTAAATGAAAAGATTTTAAATTTGCTGAGAATGAGGAAAATATCTTCTTTTGAGGGCTCAGATAAATTCACTCGCAGAATAAACCTTGTAAAAAAAGGCAAGCTTGATGCCTCGTGATAACATTCGTGTTGATGTTTTGGCAATTACAGATGTGATCTGCCATTGCTGCTTTCTGGGTTTTTTTTTTCCTTCGTCTATAGCTCTGAACTTAACTTGGTACAGGTAGTCCTCAACCCATGACCACAATTGAGCCCAACATTTCTGTTGTTAAGTGAGACATTTGTTAAGGAAGTTTTGCCCCATTTTCTGACCTTTCTTGCCAGAGTTCTTAAGTCAATCACTGCAGTAGATAAATTAATAATCTGGTTGTTAAATGAACCTGACTTCCCCATTGACTTTGCTTGTGAGAAGGTCACAAAAGGAGATCACATGAGCTTAGAACACAGCAATGGTCATTACTCTGAACCAGTTGCCAAGCATCTGAATTTTGATCACATAATCATGCTGCAAAGGTCACAACTGAAAAACAGTCAGGAGTCCCATTTTTCATTGCCACTGTAACTTCATTGCCATTGTAACTTCATTGCCATTGTAACTTTGAATGGTCACTAAACAAATGGTTGTAAGTCAAGGACTACCTGTAGTCCCCCAGCCAAATAGCCATCACACTTAGACTTATATACTGCTTCACAGTGCTTTACAGCCCTCTCTAAGTGGTTTAGAGAGACCTCATATGGCTCCCAAAACTCTGGATCCTCATTTTACCGACCTCAGAAGAATGGAAGGGTGAGTCAACCTTGAGCCAGTGAGAATCGAACTTCCGAACTGCTGGCAGCCGGCAGTCAGCAGAAGTAGCCTGCAGTACTGCATTCTCACCAGTGCGCCATCACAGCTCATCAAATACCAATCTAGTCCAATTCTACTTACCCCTTGTTGAGACAGTAGACAATTGTTGGGATAATATATTTAGGTGAGTGTGACTGGTTGTTGATGGAGGAGGAAGGATTATAAATTGTAGTAAGGAGCATGCAAAATCCTTCCTGAGTTCCATCTAGTCATGTTTTCTTCTGTGATATTCCATTGCATTCTCCTTTTCCCTGTGCCTGATTTTCCTCCCAAACCCTGAACATTTGTAGCTCCTCTGAGTATGCCCAGTTTGTATTTGGTTGCCTTTTTGGAGGGAGGGAGGGAGGGAGGGAGGGAGGGAGAGAGAGAGAGAGGGTATGCTGATACTTACCTTACCAGAATTCCTCTCCTTCTCCTCCTTTTCCTTCTTTCTTCTTCCTTCTCTTTTACCACTTCAGGTGTCGAAAGGTCTGGTTCTTGCACTTTTGGTGGCCTTTGATGTTGTCACTCCATCTTCTGGATCTGCCTCATGTTTTGGGCCTTTTCCTCTTAGCAGAATTAGCAGTTTCAAATTTGTCAATTAATGTGCATGATCTCTTCCAGGCTCTTTTTTTCCGACAGCAATATAGAGTCTGGGAAAGTTTGTTTATGTCATTGTAGGTCTTCCTGGAACCCAAGGTTTCACTGGTGTGCGAGGCCCCCCTGGCATCTCTGTGCCTTCAAGGGTTCCTGGGAAGCCTGGTGATGCGGGACGTCGTGGAGAAGATGGGCTGCCAGGTATGGAAGGAGCGAGCTTGGGGATGGGTTTTTACAGGAAGACCTCATTTACAAACATGCTGGCGTAGCCTCCCTTGTGCAAGTTTGACTTAACATATGTGAACCTAAGCACTGTGGCTAATAAGTCATGATTTATGGTCTAGAGCAGGCGTGTCAAACTCAAGACCCGGGGGTCGGATGCAGCCCATGGGGTCCTTAGATCTGGCCTGTGGGGCCACCCTAGAAACAGTAAAGAACCAGTCCATGGTGCCTCTGCCAACGAAAAAGGAGCTCAGGAGGGCCACATGCACCCCTCCCAGGCTCCATTTTCAGCTGCGGCGGCCTCCTGCCACCCTCTGCCAGTGAAAACAGAGCTTGAGGGGGAGCGTGCTTGGGCCACCACAGATGACCCTGACACTAGTGACATCAAGCTGGCCATGCCCACCCCACCCCCAAAGTCAAACACAACCCTGATGTGGCCCTCAATGAAATCGAGTTTGACACCCCTGGTCTAGAGTAGTTGTAAATTCAGCCAATTGTCATTTATTTAATAATCATGATCGAATACACTCTGGTTAAAAAGACCCCCATGAAACCCTACTTTAAAACATTAAAAAGAGGATAACTTTATTGACTTACGGAAAAAAGTTCACCAGGAAAAATTATGCTGGATCATGAGATAATGACACTGGTCACATACCATGTTACAAATCTAGCACCTGCATTCCCAGGACATATTAAACTTGGTTAGCTGGAGCTTATCCTGATGAACAAACTCAAGTTCCAAGGTTAACTTTTTATTCAATTTATTGCTGAAACCTAGAATAACAGTTTAATTCAATGCCAAGCATACTGGGGAAACATAGCTAAGATGTGGTTCCAGGTCTTTTGAAGTCACTAATTTCTAAGCTTTGGTGGATTGTCAGGTGTTTGAGCCTATCAGGAATTTAATTCATGCTGTCTCCAAATGCAAGGAAAGTCCTGTGTTGTGGTTATTGGTTTTATTATGGTTGGTCGACAGTCAGCCAGATGTTCAGATCCTATTTGGCATTGTTATCCACCTATTGCATCCATCCCAAGAACTTGAGATAGGCAGATGTGGAAATTGGATGGTATGATTGGCAGGATATAACCTGTTCCAAACAACGCTGTCCTTTGCAACTGACTGATGGCGGATTTTGCCAATGCCAATCATGTTCAAATGATGCTCCAGATGTTTTGTTATTTTTATTAGCCTTCTCTGAAGGGCCAAATGAAAATGGGGTAAGATACTTTCATTTGATGTTTCGTACATAAAATGGCCATGTTGGAAGATCTACTTTTTAATACAGGTAGTCCTTGTTTAGCAACGGCCTCATTTAGCCACTATTCGCAGGAATGAAAAAATAACTTTGTGATCAGTCCTCACATTTATGACCTTCTCAGGTCTGTAAACCAAAGGAAAGCTGAAGCCAGATCATAAGCACAGTTACAGTTTCACTTAGCAACCAAGTGGCCGCTCCCAATTATGGTTGCTAAATGAGGACTACCTACAATCATTTTTAAAGGGGCTTGTCAACAACTTCCTAGGTAACACATGGACACAATTTCAGGATTTGGAACTGCTGGAATGAGTTAAGGGTTTCTTGTACAGCAGAGCTCCCAGCAGACTAAGGACTGACTGGCAACACCATCTTCTTGGTTCTTCTTTGCCCAGGCTTACAAGGACCTTCTGGGCCACCAGGGCCACCGGGCCCAGCCTTCAATCAAGGTGATCGAGGTAACCCAGGCCCCACTGGTCCTTCGGGCTTCCCAGGCCTCAAAGGCAATGCAGGCATCCCTGGATTTAGTGGAGTTCCTGGTGCATCAGGTTTCAAAGGTGAGGAGATGTAGCGGAATGTAGTCTGGATTCCCAGGAGGGAGGGGCTGCATTCCAGATGAGCAAGAGACAATGAAGTTTAGATAGTTTGTGTGGGAGAAAGAGGGTGAAGACGGCTCCTCCCTAGGTGTTCTCAATATATGTTTAATAGTGTAAGTATTAAATGTATATTTACTGACAAAGAAATAAAGATTTATACCGTCTGGCAAGGTGGATATCGAGGCAACTTCAGTGTTTGCCAAAATGTTCTGAAAGAGGAGAAGCTGCCGAATTTGATGAATTTTCAGTCCTGCCTAATTTAGAAGCCAACCTCTGGATCTTTCTCTTTTCTTTCTCCTCAGGATTCAGAGGGGACCCAGGTTTCATGGGAATGCCTGGGAAAGATGGACCACTGGGTGATCCAGGTTTCCCTGGGCCAAAAGGCAAAGCAGGCCTTCCAGGTAAGTCTTGGACAATGCACGTAACTCCAGATCAAACCATACAGGTTTGCAATATAGCAATTATTTGAAGTTATGACTAACCTTCCCAGTTCCAAAGTTCCGGTAGCCTCACTCCCTGCAGTCACATGATCACATTTTAGGCTCTTGACAACTAGCATCCAATGGTCACATGACCACATTTTAGACTGTCTTTGTCAAAACCCATCATTTACTTCTGATTTTCAGCAAAACCAGCCCATAGCAAACAATTGGTTTGCTTTACAATCTCCACATTCACTTAACAACTACTGCAAAAATAAAGTCGTAAAGTTGAGTTGACCACTTGGGTGACCTGCTTTACAACATTCATGATTTACAATTCTAATGGGCAGGCTCTATTATGGTTATAAGTTGAGAACTACTGTACGAGCATCAGACAGATGATTGGATATGTACTATTTATGAGAGGTAATGAGGAAGCAGGCAAGGAATGGAAGAAAAAGCAGGCATAAGTGATTCAGGTCCATATCTCATAAATTGAAACTCAACTTGGGCAATGTTGAGCACACAAGATGTCTTACTGAAATCTCTATTCTGTAGTTCTTGCTTCCCTAATTTTACTGGGCTTGACATCATCCTAGAATCTAGGATGAACCCCAAATTCAAGTTTGTTTTGAAGTTATGGTAGAGATGTTTACCAAGGTTCAGAATTTATGGAACTTTGCTTGCTATATCAGTTCTGGAGAACTTGATGGTCCAAAAGTGGTCACTGCTTCCCTGGGTGCTACATTTGGGGTTCCAGACAAACAGACGTGCCATTTTATAGGACATTCCTCTTCTTTGTCAGGCATCCTTGGTCTATTTTGGAGTCTTTTTTTTACCATGGTCTTTTTTGAAAAGTTGAAGATGTGGTGGATTCTCTAGGCTGATACATCTTTCACTGCGGATTGAAGACAGGAAGAACAATTGGGGAGGGAGGAATGCTCTACACTTTAGCAATTCATTGCATGATTGTTGCACATTCTCCACCCTAATAATGACAGAAAAATATGACCTTGGATTTTCTAACCACATTGGTGGGATACCCCATGAATGTCATTTTACAAGTCATCCTTCCTCCGTGTTATACAGGTTTTCCTGGGCTGCAAGGAGCTCCAGGCCTAACCCAACCACCAAAAGAAGTCAGAGTTCCTCCTGGATTACCCGGATTGCCTGGAAATAATGGCAACCCTGGTTTAAATGGAGACCCTGGCTTCCAGGGGCAAACTGGACCACAAGGTAAAATAAGTTACATTGTCCATAGAAATGGGGGTATGCAGAGCTGGAACTCTGGAGAAGGTGGTCTCTAAAGAATCCTTGGAGGATCCATCTTCCTGTGGTTATCTACAAAGACCTTCAGGCTTAAAACAGAATGCTTTGAATACTGGCTTCTAAGAGAAACCCTATTGAGAGCTTGTTTTTTTATTCTTTGTAAAAGCAGAATAACAGACTAATAGAGTTGGAAGAGACCCTGGAGGTCTTCTAGTCCAGCCCCCTGCTCAAGCAGGGGAACCTATACCATTTCATACAAGTGGTTGTCCACTCTCTTCTTAAAATCCTCCAGTGATGAAGGACCCACAACTTCCAGAGGCAGACCGATTCACTGATTAATTGTTCTAACTGTCAGGAAATTTCTCTTTAGTTCTAGGTTGGTTCTCTCCTTGATTAGTTTCCATCCATTGTTTCTTGTCCTGCCTTCAGATGTTTGGGGGAATATGTTGATCCCCTCTTCTTTGTGGCAGCCCATCAAATATTGTAACACTGCTATCATGTCATCCCTAGTCCTTCTCTTCATTAGACTAGACATATCTGATTCCAAGCCAAGATAAACTGGTCTTCTTCTTAAGGGAATCAGTCTCTTGTGACTTCTGAATTGAAATGGTTATCATAAATGATAACCAAATTTTATGACAAAAATTTTATGTTCATGACCAGGTCCAAAAGGAAAAGCAGGCATACCTGGCCTGGTGGGATTTAATGGTTTACCAGGTCCTTCTGGTGTGGTAGGAGACCCGGGTTCTCCAGGAACTCCAGGACTACCAGGATTTGAAGGTAAGTTTATATATATTAGCATCTTTGGACTTGAAGTGCTATAAAAACTGTAAGATAACAACTGATACGATTTATGAAATGCTGCTGATGTGTAAATGCCAGAGAGGTTAATCTTCATAGAAGATTACTTTTCATCATCATCTTCATTAGATCCCATGTAGAGCACATTGGCCAGCAAGTATTTTCCAGAGGTTTCAATCTTTGGCATCATCCCAAGAGAGATTAATGATCTTAAGATCTTCCTTAAGTGTTTGGCGCCAAGTTTTCCAAGGCATCAGTTGTTCCTAAATGGGACTTATGGAAGAAGGTTATAGGCTGTCCAAAGAGGATGTGTCAAAGTGAGGCATTCACAAAGACCTTTTACTTTAGGTGAGAGCAGGAGTGAAATGCTCCCGGTTCGGACCGGATCGCTTGATCCGGTAGTAAAGGGTGGTTCGGAGAACCGGTAGCAAAAATCCCTGCCCCTCTCCCATTGCCCAGCTGAGCCGCGCAATCATCAGAGGCTTTTTTTTAATTTTTAAAAGCATTTTTTCTACAACCTCTTTGGCTGAAAAAAATGCTTTTAAAAGTTAAAAAAAAAGCCTCTGATGATCGCGCAGCTCAGCTGGGATCATCAGAGGCTTTTAAAAGCATTTTTTCTACAACCTCTTTGGCTGAAGAGGTTATAGAAAAAATGTTTTTAAAAGGAAAAAAAGCCTCTGCCGGTCAGGCAAGTCAGCTGGGATCGTCAGAGGCTTTAAAAAAAAAAAAGCTTCTGCTGATCAGGCAAATCAGCTGGGATCGTCAGAGGCTTAAAAAAAAAAGCTTCTGCCGGTCAGGCAAGTCAGCTGGTAAATCAACACTTACTTGAAGGCGCACACACACACACACACACACACACACACACACACACACAAAAGGTGCCTTAGGTAGTCTGCTTGTATGCAGCAGGAGACAATGCAGTTCTACAGGGAGTAAAGGAAATGATGGTTTGACAATCCAAACTCCAATTTGACTTGCGTCCCTTCAGCTGAGACTGATCTGCTTGGGGCAGGTTGGGAATGAACCTTCTCCAGATCTTGCTGGGCAGATACCAGTCACAGGCTGCATGGAAGCTCCTCTCTCTTTTCGCAGGGCGTCCTGGGAATCCAGGTCTGGCTGGGCTGCCCGGGATGCCAGGTCGTAGCATTGGGGTTGGCTATACCTTGGTGAAACATAGCCAGTCGGAGCAGATCCCACCCTGTCCGGTGGGCATGAACAAACTCTGGGAAGGTTACAGTTTGCTGTATGTGGAGGGCCAGGAGAAGTCCCACAATCAAGATCTGGGTAAGCAATGTGTCCAGCCTGAAAAAAAGGGAAACCAACAGGAAAATGAGAGGGCAGGAAAGAATCCCTCCATTTATGAAAGAGAAGATGATTTTGCAATTGGGAAGGGGAAGGGAAAGGAGGGGAAGGGGGGAGGGGAATGGAAGGGCAAGGTAGAGGAAAGGGAAGGGAAGAGAAAAGGAAAGGAGAGAGGGAAGGGAAGGGAAGGGAAGGAAGTCCAATAAATATGTTAATTATAATCCAGAATTTGTTTGTCTATATGACAATACAGTCCAACTAAAGAATTAAGCATTATGCAATCATGAAAGACTTATGACCAGTCATTTAGCAACGGTTCTAAGTTACAACAGATTTACAACCCATCCTTAAAGTTACGAGGGCTGCTTCCCCAAATCCCAGTCCCAATTGTGATCATAGGTCAAGGAGCTGAGATTTTTCAGGCAGCTGGCTTCTGAACACACCACGCTTCAGGTAGTCCTTGAGTTACTGTTCTGTCCCTGTTCCACACACACACACACACACACACACACACACACACACAAACAGACAGCCGGGGGTTAAATAAACTGGCAGACAACCATTCTTCCGATAAGACGCTTGGCAGCAACCCAGTAGCTGCTTGCCAAGAATTTTTACTCAATAAACAAAATACACACAGTCAAGGTTTGTCCACTTCGTAAAATAAATCCAGGGCCAATAATGTTGTTTCCAAAGATGCAATGTGACTCGATAGTAGTTAGTTTTGCCCGTCACAGAGTCTGAATGGCCACCTCACCCCCTTTTATACCCTGTGGGGTGTGGGCCAGTGACTCAGCCTAATCTCTGGCACGCCTTTTCTTCTGTTGCGCGCGCCTATCTCTTCAACGCTGCCGAGGATCCAGCCAAGACTCATTACCCTCATCACTGTCCACCTGCAGTGGACGTGCTTGGCCCCGGCCCTATCTCTTGCCCTTTGGCGGACACCGAAGGCATTGCCAGAGAGGAGGGTCCTGGAGAGGGAGGCCTTGCCAACTCCTCTCCTTCACTCTGGGAGTCCTCTCCTGCCGATGACACAGGCTCAGGTAACGGAGCCACAACAGATACAACCATTTGTTTAATGATCGTTCAGAGTTGCAACACATTGAAAAAAGTGACAGATGACTAATTTTCACACTTAACAACCATTGCAGCCTCCCCAGGGTCACATGATCAAAATTCGTGCACTTGGCAACTGACATGTATTTATGAGAGTTCCACTGTCCTGGGGGGTCACGTGATCACCATTTGTAACCTTCCCAGCCAGTTTCCAACCAGCACAACCAATGGGGGAAGCCAGATTCATTTAACAACTACATCATTCACTTAACTGCTATAGTGATTCGTTTAATAACTGTGATTAAAAAGGTCATAAAGTGGGGCAAAACTCACATAACAACTCCCTTCCTGAGCAACACAAATTTGGGGCTCCGCTGTGATCATAACTTGAGGACTACATCTGGGAAAAAAATCTAGGACATAGACTAAATTTTAATGATTGGGAGATAGCTTGGAATAGAAACTACAAAATAACCAAATCGACAACGTTTAGGGAAAATCATTACAAATTGTTACACAGGTGGTATCTAGCCCCAGCGAGGCTAGCCAAGATGTTTCCAAATCTCTCTCCCACATGTTGGAAATGTGGAAAAACGGTCGGCACCTTTTACCACCTATGGTGGACTTGCCCTGAGACTAAAAAGTACTGGTCCAAAATCCGACAGTGGCTCTGTGAAATAACGGGACAGGAGGTAGTCCTAGCCCCAGAGCTTTTCCTCCTAGGCATAACCGAAGAAGGCTTTAACAATAATAAAACCCAACTGATAATCCAGATTATAACTGCGGCTAGATTAGCCTTCGCAAAATGCTGGAAAAACAAACTTATGCCCTCAGAAGAAACTCTAATAAATAAGATCCTAGAGTGCGCAGAAATGGCGAAACTGACAAGTGAGTTAAAAAACGAGGACAACTCAAAATATTATGACGTATGGGGTATTTGGTATCACTGGTTGAACAATAAGATGAAAACATGACTTTAGAATTTGACCTGGCACATGAATTATAGTTATATTGTATAGAATAATGTATAGTTAAGGATGAAGCTTTTTTTAACTTTTGTTTCACTATATTGTATAAACACTGCACCTCCGAAAGGAGAGATAGATTGTACATTTTCTTTTTTGTTTTGGAAAACTCAATAAAGTATTTATAAAAAAAAAAAAAAAACTTGAGGACTACCTGTATTCTTGCAGTCACAGCTGCAGAAATGAGAGTCCTTGCTAATGCTCCATTCCATGCTTTGTTCCTCCATTCTCAAAGGTTTTGCTGGCTCCTGCCTGCCTCGCTTCAGCACCATGCCTTTTATTTATTGCAACATCGACGAAGTGTGCTACTACGCCAGCCGCAATGATAAATCCTATTGGCTTTCCACCACCGCTCCGATACCCATGATGCCCGTCAGCAGCTACCAAATTGCCCAATACATCAGTCGCTGCTCGGTGTGCGAAGCTCCATCCCAAGCTGTGGCTGTCCACAGCCAGGACATCACCATCCCACAATGTCCCGAAGGCTGGCGGAGTCTCTGGATTGGCTACTCCTTCCTCATGGTAAGAAATCCCAGAAGAGATGGCCACGTGTGGGAACGCACATCCTTTCGGTGCATATACACAGAGCGCCTATCCTTGCTCATGCCATGGCCTGTCTAGCTGGGTGGTCTTCAGGCCACCAGTGGCTCTTCCCAGTTGCCATTTAATGGCCACGTGAGCCCTTTCCTCATTCTATCACCAAAAATGGATTGCATTTTAGTGTCTATGGAGGTTCTCAATCATCCATGTCATGATGGTCGCAAAGGTGATTTTCAAAAGGCAACTGGATTTTCTTGGGTTTTTTTTTCCTGGAAAACATTTTGCTTTTCATCCAAGAAGCTTCTTCAGAACGGGAAGGGGAAGGAAAGGAGGCGAGGGGAGGGGAGGAGGAGGGGAATGGAAGGGCAGGGGAAGGGAAAGGAAAGGAAAGGAAAGGAAGGGAAGGGAAGGGAAGGGAAGGGAAGGGAAGGGAAAGGAAAGGAAAGGAAAGGAAAGGAAAGGAAAGGAAAGGAAAGGAAGGAAAGGAAAGGAAAGGAAAGGAAAGGAAAGGAAAGGAAAGGAAAGAAGGAAAAGGAAAGGAAGGAAGGAAAGAAAAGGGAAAGGAAAGGAAAGGAAAGGAAAGGAAAGGAAAGGGAAAGGAAGGAAGGAAAGGAAAGGGGAAAGGAAAGGGAAAGGAAAGGGAAAGGAAAGGAAAGGAAAGGAAAGGAAAGGAAAGGAAAGGAAAGGAAAGGAAAGGAAGGAAAGGGAAAGGAAAGGAAGGAAAGGAAAGGGAAAGGGGAAAGGAAAGGGAAAGGAAAGGAAGGAAAGGGAAAGGGGAAAGGAAAGGAAAGGAAGGAAAGGAAAGGAAAGGAAAGGAAAGGAAAGGAAAGGAAAGGAAAGAACAAGCTTCTTGGATGAGAAGCAAAACGTTTTCAAAGAAAAAAACCAAGAAAGACCAGTTACCTTTGGGATTGCACTTTAACGCCTTTAATTTTGGGGCGAGTTCATTGTGTTCTGTATTTAAAAAGGAGGCTTTGGTGCTTGTTTATTTTTCAAACTTTCCTAGCCTGCCTAGCAACACCCAGTGAGGCTTTTAATAGCAGGGGAAACAAATAGCAATTTTCATATGAACTTAGAATCATGGGACTGGAAAGGACCTCAGAGGTCTTCTACTCCAACCTCCTGCTCAAGGCAAGAGACCTTATGCCCATGATGGCGAACCTATGGCACACGTGCCACAGGTGGCATGCAGAGCCCTTTCTGTGGGCACGCAGCCGTCGCCCCAGCCCAGCTCCACTGCACATGTGCGCCCCTCCCATCAGCCAGGTGGTCTTCGGGTCTCTGCTGTGCATGCATGGGGGCCTTCCCCGATCTCCGCAGGTTCCACCTTCCGTAGGTGCCTCTCCGTTGCAGGAATGCAGGAGAAAGCTAGGACTCAATGGGGGGAGAAACTGCAAAAATTGGAGGAGGCACAGAAGGCAGGAAGGCAGGAGAAAGCTAGGATGCGATGGGGGTAGAAACTGTGGAGATTGCGAGTCCCCCCCACCCCATGCCCCATTTTGGGCTTGAAAAGCCTCCTGCAGCAATCTGGAAGCCAAAACGGGGGCCTGGGGCATATGGGGGGGGCATGCGCAGGGAATGTGCGGGGTGCATGCACGGGGGGCGCTCACATTGCATTTTGGGGATTGTGGCACATGTGTGTGCATTCATGCGTGTGCACGCGTGCTTTGGGCACTTAGTACCAAAAAGGTTAACCATCACCGACTTATACCATCCTGGTCAAATGTTGGCCCTGTCTATTTTTGAAAACCCCAGTGATTTGAATTTGGCTGTGACTCTCGAAGCCAGTTGCCTGCGGTCAACTGGGCCATCCATCCTGATGGGAACTAGCCATTTGTAGGGCAGTGTTGACTCAAGATGTTTGCATTTGACCTTCCGTAGCACAATTGATACGATTCTTCGCACCAACATCATTCTCTCGCTGGTGCTTTCTTTCAGCACACGGCTGCCGAAGGCGGTGGCCAGTCCCTGGTCTCTCCCGGATCCTGCCTGGAGGACTTCCGTGCCACACCTTTCATTGAGTGCAACGGTGCCCGAGGAACATGCCATTACTTTTCCAACAAGTACAGCTTTTGGCTGACCACGGTGGAGGCGACCCATCAGTTTGCTGACTCTCCCATCTCCGAAACGCTGAAAGCGGGCCAGCTCCGGACACGGGTGGGACGGTGCCAAGTCTGCATGAAAAATTTGTAGCAAAGGCCTGGACATGAGACCTTATTCCTCCAAGACCAAGAAATTAGCATTTGTGTCCCAGCTGGGTAATTGACATCTTCCCAAATATCCCCAGAGCCCTCGTCTCCATCAAATAATGGTGCTATCTTTCCCACTTGTTTTTATCTTCCTGGCTACCTCAAAGTCCTTTTCTCCTTCCCAACTACCACATTCTCTTGGCTTTGATAAACTAAACTGATTTTCACAAGATACACAAATCTTGAGCAAAGATTTCTTCTCAAGATTATGATCGTAAGGTCTCCCCATGTTAAGGATTTAAGACATGTCAGGAATTTCACAAATGTTTTTGCCTGCATGCACACACTCTTCTAACTATGTTCCTCATTCATATTCATCTTAAGTTAGCTGCTTATTTAACATAGTTAGCTGTCTAAAAGTGTATCTGTTCTATGATCAGTGATATGATCAGATTTGAAGGTTCAGGTTTGTGAAATCGTTAACTACATTGATCAAAGCCTGCCTGGCAATCTATTAAACAGTGAAGTGACAATAATATAAAACGAAACTTGTTAGGAGAGGAAAATATTGGGATTTTTCATCCGTAACACGAGCAGGCCTATTAGAAGGATGATAATGTGCATCTTTTGAAGATGAAGAGTTTTTATGGTGATGATGCAATTTGATTTCACCTGCTTGATTATTCAGCCCAAGAATGTTAATCTAGCATTGTTACTACCCTATGTGATGTTTTCTTACGAATGTTTCAGAACCTCTCCGTTTATTTGTTAATGTGCCGCAAGTAGCATTCTTTCGTGGCATCCACTGGTGCTACTCACATACCCTCTTGAACATGACAAATCTTGGCTCAGATGCCAAAGTATGACTTGAATTTATCTGATGAGACCGCTCCTTCCTTTCCGTGCTGGGACATCTGAATGCTTTCTGGGCTCATGAATCATAGTTTCATGTTGCATCCATTCTCCACTGAGATACTAGGTGGGCAGCAAATCCATTTCAAGTAATGGTTGTGGACTGTTAATGTGTTCCACTCTGATAACAATCATCCCTCGGCTTGATCATAGCTATGGTTAATTAACCAACAGAATAATTCTTCAGATCTGGTGAAGTGAAAAGGAAAGAGAATGGCAGAGATCCAGCACATAGGATCACCCAAAGAAGTTAGATGCAGAATTCACCCTGGTGGACTAGGAAGCAACTGAACATATTAAGATGATTTACTAAAGGAAACTATGTTAAAAACTGCTAAGTAGAAAGGCTGAGGGGTATCTCCCAAGCTACAATTCTGTTGGCTAAGAATACTGAAAATAGGAGAGACTTAGTTTACATCTGATAAATTATCCTGATATTCTAGCCAGGAAGGAGTGGATTAGTAAATTGGCATGTTTTCTAATTTCTCTTAGAGGTTAACTCTTTGATGCTTCTTTGTCCATAACTACATGGCCAAGCTGTGATCTACTATCTGTATCTTTGCTCACCTCGAGTAGTGTCTGTCCTGCTTAACCTCTTCACTTCCTTCGTTCTACATTATAATATCTGTTTGGTCCTTTTTTCTACAAGCTGTTTTTACAGCCTTAGCCCATCTGTTTCCGCCTGGAGAATGGGTCAACGCAATTACCTTGAAGACTATCTTCTTAATTCCTTAATAGCCTACTGATATTCATGTTATACAAATGTTCTTGGACTTTATACGGCCATAAAATGTTGATCCATGAATAATCCACTATTACAGATGTTGGCATAGGACCTTAAGTTTATATAGCAGATGTATTACTCCATTTGTAATAGGTGTACAAGCTGGAGCAACAGTTACTAATCTTTAACGAAGACAGTTACTTCAACTGTCTCTGTGCTCTAAATGTACATGAGCCTGTTGATTATTCAGTTGCATGTCATGGATTTCATTTCCACATTATTTCTTTAAAAAAATTTTGAGGTAGCTTTGGAATTGCTGGTGCTTGAAATAATATAGTATTAAATAGGTTACTTTTATGTAAATGTAACACTGAGTAGAAGTTGGATGAACTGACTCATCTGCCAATATTACGGTTTTCTTGATTTTATTTTTACTAGTCTTGCATTTTGTAATGCACTGCTGAAAGTATCTTCAGAGCACTGATTATATTTTGACTCTTTATTTTTTTTTCCTAAAAACTAGTAAAACAGCACGTCCACTTTGTGAGTTATATTCCATTACCTCCTTACAATAAGCTTGGTAACTCTCTCCAGACACGTTACTCAACTTGTGTAAGTTGTCAAGTGGATTTATACTAAGCTTTGACGACCAAAATAGAATTGAGGAGTTACAAAGGACCCCAAAGATCATGTAGTCCAATCTTCTTTAGTGGCCAAAAACTCCAATTAAACCATCAGCAAGAGTTTGTTGGCCTCCTCTTATAAACCTCCAGGACTTTTAGGTCTTGATCAAAGGAGAAGGCAATTTTCACACAGAAGATTTAAATAGACTTTGAAAGAAATTTTTGAACGCATAAAACAGAAATTGGGCTTAAGAGTGGAATCCCAGTTCTACACAATGACTGTATCAATCAAACCAACCCAGAAAAGAATAGTCAGTTGTGCCTGATTTTATGACCTTTTTTTGCCACGGTTGTTAAGCAAATCATTGCAGTTAAGTGAATCACATGGTTGTTGAATGAATCCAGTTTGCCATATCGACTTGTCAGAAGACACCTGGAAAGGTCTCAGGTAGAGATCTCATGATCCCAGGATGCTATAACCATCACAAATACAGGTAGTCCTTGACTTACAACAGTTCATTTAGTGACTGTTATAACGGCACTGAAAAAAGCGACTTGCGACCATTTTTCACACTTTTGACCACTGCAGCATCCCCAGTGTCATGTGATTTATGTCTGGATGCTTGACAACCGGTTCATGTTTATGACAGTTGCTGTGTCCTGGGGTCACGTGATCCCCTTTTGCAATCTTCTGACAAGCAGAGACAATGGGGAAGCCAGACTCACTTAACAACTGCAGTGATTCCTATAACAAATGTGGCATTTGTTATAAGTCATATGAAAAGTCATAAAATGGAGCAAAATTCACTCAACAAATTTCTTACTGAACAACATAAATTTGGGGTTCAATTGTGGTCGTAAATCGAGGACTGCCTGTACATGTTACTTGCCAAGTGCCCAAATTTTGAACATGCAACCCTGAAGATGTTGCCATGATTGTAAATGTGAATACTTGTAAGTCAATTTTTTTCAGTGCCATTGTAACTTTGAACTAAAAAAATGGTTGTAAGTTGAGCTCCACCTATACATGCAAACTCCCACCAATGAGGCGTTTAATTCTGCGTATGACAATGGCAGTAGCTAATGCAATTTTTAAATCTGCCTGTGTAGTGATGGTTAATATAATTAGTCACCTATGTGGCCACATGATGTGGAGTAAATATTACATGTACATACCCATATCAGGGTAGAAAACGATCAGAAAACTGAAGCCAACAACTTTTATTTTGATAGATATCCTTCTCTGGTTCTTAAAAAGCTCCAACTCCCCAAATTGGCATCCAACCTATTCAACAGTTAAGAAATGAGATGCACAAATAAAGTGCTGTTAACAAGGGGAAACATGTAAATGTTTAATTTAAAATAAATAAGATACAGTTGAAACAAAAACATGTTTTCTTTTACTCAGGAGCAAAAGAGATTTAATAATGATTTGAAGTTAAAGTCAAAGTGAAAAAGGGTCATCATAATTATAAAGAGACCTTCTGTATGTTGCAAGAACACGGGAGGAGTTGAAAGGTTGCCTTCCAGTCCTCTGCTTATTAATGTATTTCCTAGAAACAAGAAACGTTTTTGAAAAATTGCACATTTTATACGCGTCCTTCCATAAAAACACTTCGGGGTTTCCAAGTGCCGTGGCAAGAAATGTGAAGAGATTGAATAAAAGCATGGGTTTCGCCCGAATCGTTGAAAAAGAAAACAAGGCAATGACCTTTACTCCTAAAAAAATTGTCCATGTGAAGGAATCAGAGGTGAACGCGCTCCTCAACAGGGTCATGCCTTCGGCGTGAGCAAAGCTATTGCATTATATTATAATTACCATCTGGCTCTTGTTGAGGCTGGCAAGACCGTTCTCAGCAATATGAGCAATACAATATGAGCCAGTTTTTGCTTTCGGGTTCTCCGAGAGCTCTTCTTCAGACAAGGTTCTTTCCTTGGGGAGAAGTGGGGGTGGGGGGGACATACACAGGGGCTGGGGAGCCAGGATCCATGCCCTTCTCAAGAAGTGCTTTTTTGGAACTGTTCTCCTGAGGTCTTGTGTCTGTTCACAGGCAGGCACTTCAGGGTGAGAAAGGCGCTGTGGTTTTATTCCGCCAGGTTGCCTTCATACACTCAAGATCTCAAACTCTTCTTCCATTTCAAACAGTTTATCCGTGGAGTCAATGAGCTCTAAGAAAAATGGAGAAACTGGATTTCTTTGTAAAAATAGGTTCGCTCTTATAAAAACCTCCCCATTCAAGCCTTGTCAAGTTGAGGCCCCCAAGGCTGGGAATACCAAAAACTGCACTCCTAACTATAGATAGTCCTCGACTTGCAACCTCAATTGATCCCAAAATTTCTTTGTTCAGTGAATTTCACCCCATTTGACAACCTTTCTTACCACAATTGTTAAGGGAATCGCTGCAGTTCTGTTAATTTGCTGTTAAGTTATTAACACGGTTGTTAAGTGAATCTGGTTTCCCCGCTGACTTTGCTTGTCAGGTCATAAAAGGTGACTCCATGACCCTGGGACACTGCAACCATCATAAAGATGAACCAGTTGCCAAGCATCTGAATTTTGATTATGTGACCATGGGGATGCTGCGATGGTCGTAAGTGTGAAAAATGGTCATAAATCCCTTTTTTCACCAACCATTGTAATGTTGGTCACTAAATGAACCATTGTAAGTCGAGGACTACTTATATGTGGGAAATTGGATGGAGAATGGCTGTTGGAAAGCAAACGAGTGAGGAACAAATCAACCCATCAGAGATTGCAGATGACCTCTCCCAGTATAACTTAGCTGTCCACAACAAAACACTCTTACCATCCTTTCCGTTATGGCATAAATATGCTTACAAGGTGTCAGCAAAGGCTTAATGTTGACTTCACCCCACTTGATCAATTTTTTGATCCAGAAGACCCATGTCTTCTGGATCAAAGATGTTTGCTCGTGCAAGCGAGCAAACTTTGGCCTTGATTCCAAAAAGTTGCTTCAGAGCATGAAAGTAGCACCCACCCACAATTGCTGTCTCACTTCCGAGGAGTCTGCCACTGCTTTAAGGAGCTGCCATTCAGAAATTTACTCTTTGGGGCCAAGTGTCAAAGTGGACAAAGTAACACAGATCACAGCCGGGTAGCACAATGGAGGAAGTGAAGGACATCCCTATGAAACACCTCTTTACCTGCTCCAGTGGTGGTGACTTCTGGTTTTGTGGGAGGTATGAAAGGGGGCCAGTGTGGTGGGTGCTTCTGAACCAGCTCAAACATCCGTAGACTCTGCTTCTTATGTATCTCCTGGGAGGGAAGAAATGCCATTTGCAAATGCAGGACTTAAAATTTATTAGCCACCCAACCCTAAAAAATTCAGAACGCCATGCTGAATGTTTAAGAGCTGGGGACTATAGACCAGGCCTTCCTGTCCCTTCTATGTTAACACTTTTTACATTTTGTATGAAAAAATATAATCCAAAATTTATCACGAGCTATTTTTTGCACCAAAAGTTCAAATTCACTAAGCTATTTAATTCTCATTCTTAAATACCAGATAAAAGGCATTAAAAGGCAAGGAACTAATGAATTTCCAGGCCAATAAAAACCCATTTTTAGAAAGTAATAGGTGTATTTTTCTATTTGTGATTTTCTTTTGGGGTTGCTCGTGCAAGATCACAGCTCCATTTAAAACACCATATATTTTAAGCGCACAGAAGATCTGAAGGCTTACAAAGCCCTCTTCAGGAAGACAAGTTTAAAAAAATATCAGCACAGCAAAGAAAAAACAAAAAAATAATTATAATAACATTCAGTACAATGAATAAACAAACATCAAATATGTATCAGAGCTGTGGGCATCTCTCTCTTTCAATCTTTCTATCCCTCTGGTTATTATCAATCCTTCTAATAGTAAATTGTTCAACACAAAACAAGAAATGATAATAATTTTCAAGTTTTATGCCTTTCCTAATACTTGCCTTTTGCACAAAGCTACACCAGTTATCAAAGTCCTTTTCTTCTTTACAAAAGAATCCCTGTAACAATTGAAGAATATTAGAAAGGAAAAACAAGGAATAATAAAATGATAGAAACATTTGGTCATTATACATTCTTTCCAATTATTTTGGAAGGGTATTAGTCATTATTAGGCATCCTTGAAACAATAAATTTAGGTGCTAATACAAAACACTCACAAATAATCGGAACAGATTCAAAGTGGCTTTTCATCTCAGTAAGCATTAAGCCAAAATACACATGAATTGTGTTCACAAGGCATGCTAAATTATTGCTTGGTCTATCCAAAACTCCTTTTTTATAAATCACAGCAGCTTAATGCATATAATACACTGTTAAAACAAGCAGACTAGGTTATAGCTTACTCTGTTGTATAAATGTCTAAAACAGGGCTCTCCAAACTTGGCAACTTCAAAGACTTGTGAACTTCAACTCCCAAAATTGTGGCTGGCTGGGGAATTCTGGGAGTTGGTCCACAAGTCTCAAAGTTGCTAAGTTTGGAGAGCCCTGGTCTAATGCCTAGAACTATGTTTAACCATTTATCAGAATTCCAACAAGAAACTTCTTTGAAAATGTAATCAGCAGCCTGTTGCCTACGTTGGATTCCCTGAACAAGGCACATTCTTCAGGGGGCGGGGCAGGGTGTGTGTGTGTCCATCTCCTCACTACGCCCCATCACAATACTTACTAATGCTACAGAGGGATCGAGGTTCATTATCTTCATCCGGTGGGGGGCTTGCTGGCAGTGAAAGCTATGGTCATCAACTGCACCACTCTCATCCGAATCTACAAAGACCTGGGTGGTGTGAGGATCCAGGTAGATCAATTCATTTCCTACAAGAAAGAAGCAAGAAAGGGGTTGGATAGCCATGAGTGGAACTGAAAACCGGGCAGCTTTGCACCGCAGTTGTCCACCTAAACTTCAGGATCTGCTACAGCCCCAAATC